TCGTCACTGGTCTCCCCGTCTCTCGAGGTATGTCCACAATACTCACCATCGTTGACCGTTTTTCCAAGTCCTGTCATTTAGTCCCTCTCAGGAAGCTCCCCTCGGCGTTCCAGACTGCTCAGCTTCTCGTGAAACACGTCTTCAGATTACATGGCATTCCCCAGGAAATCCTATCAGACCGTGGTCCTCAATTTATCTCTCAAGTTTGGAAAGCCTTCTGTTCAGCTCTGGGCTGTAAGTCTGCTTTAACTTCAGGTTATCATCCACAATCCAACGGTCAGACCGAGCGCATGAATCAGCACCTTGAATCCACCCTCCGCTGCCTAACGTCCAACAACCCCACCGACTGGAGCCAGTATCTTCCTTGGATCGAGTACGCCCATAACTCCCAGAGATCAGCATCCACCGGCCAGTCACCATTTCAGGTCAGTCATGGATACCAACCACCACTTTTCCCCGCAGATGAAAAGGAGATAGCAGTCAAGACCATCAACCAACACATCCGTCGCTGTCAAAGAATTTGGAAGGAAACCATCACCACCCTAAACAAATCATCAGAGACCACCAAACGTTTTGCCGACTCCAAGAGACGTCCCGCTCCCGAGTACGCCATCGGACAGGAGGTATGGCTGTCTACCCGAGACATTCCCCTCAAGGGAATGTCTCGGAAACTGTCTCCCAGATTCATCGGTCCATTTAAGATTTCCCAGGTTATCAGTCCCTCCGCAGTCCGTCTCCAGTTACCTCCGAGTCTACGCATCCACCCCACCTTTCATGTCTCTCAGGTCAAGCCCGTAGTCTCTAGCCCTCTGTGCCCGCCATCCGACTCCCCACCACCCACCCTGGAAGTCGATGGCCACCCTGCGTTCACCGTCCGTCGCATCGTGGACTCCCGTCGGCGAGGTCGCGGCTGGCAGTACCTCGTCGACTGGGAGGGCTACGGACCTGAAGACCGTCAGTGGGTTCCCGGCTCTTACATCCTCGATCCTTCCCTGATCGAGGAGTACGAGCGTTCCTGCCCATCTACTTCCTCCGGACCGCCAAGGGGCGGTCGTTGAGGGGGGGGTACTGTTGGAAGCTGGAGAAGTACCTCTCTTCTCCAGCAGAGTCCGCCGTGGATCCTCCTGAGCAGAGCCCTCTGCACAGCTGCTGCTCGTTACCATCATCAGGAGGACCCTCTACTTAAGCTGTCTTCAGACCTTGCCTCAACGCCGCAGTGTTGAGCCAGTTGGTTAGCACCTAAGCCCAGAACCTCTGTGAACTTTGCTTGCTCTGAGATCCTGACAGGATCCTAATCTTGTCTCTGTCTTTCCAGGAAAACCTGATCTTCCTTCGTGAAGCTCTGGTAGAGCTTAACCCGCCGAGCCTGCCCTCAGAGCCAAACCTGAAGACTTCCCCTGGATTCTCTTGCAGCTCTGGACCAAGAGCTGGAAATCCAAAGTCAAGGTCTGCTACCTTTCTAGAAGCAAGACGCTGAAGCAGCTAACGGACTCAGCTAATCAGACTCTCTCCAGTTCCAACAACCTTCCTCTCCAAGATCCATTCAAGGACCCACAAGGTACACACCAGAGACTATCAAAGGACAAACCGCTAAGAGCCCAGCTACTAACTGTCTTCCTCACAGACTCCGGTGAACCCGTTTGCCCAGGACCAGAACCAGAACATACTATCATTGGATTGTATTCAATAAACTCTGTTAACTTTTCATCTGTTTCCTGTGTCGTGGTGTTCTGCATAATTGGGTCACATTCGTGTACCGATCATGACACTAATATCACCTGCGCTGTGATTATTGTTCTCTACTTAAAAAATACTTTAGATTTTAAAATGGAAAAATTTTCTGTTTATTTTTTTAAAGTCAATGTATTACATGGATGCATAAAAACCTCCTTTTATTTCAGCATTAAATTCTGTTTAAAGCCACAGATAATACTTAAAGGTCTCCGGAACTTTACCGGTTGTTGATTTTCTTTAAATGATCTCTTGAGGAAAAATGGATTCAACCTCCAGTTTAAATCCTCTGCTCAGTTTAAAGCTCAAATAATCCTTCCAGGATGAGAAGGTCTGAAACATCCAGTTTACAGGATGACTTCCTGCCGAGAGGCAAAGACAAAAAACAAGATTAAGACTCAGGTTGACAAGAACTCAGTTTGACTCAGCAAAACTCAGCTTGGCTAGAGTACCCAAGACTGGCAAACACTCTGGCGTCGAGGTAGTGGCAGTCAGCAGCTTAAAGCTGCAGTCTGTAACATTAAGAAGAGAGCAGACTGCGACTAAAAATTTGAAGAAAAACAGGTTTGACACCACTCCCCCACCCTCTCTGCTTCACTCATGCCCCACCTCCAAGCCCCTACCGCATGCGACCAGAAGCGTCCAAGCAGCGTACGCGGCATGGAGTGTGAACCGGTAAGAGCGATAACACTCACCTCCAAGCAGCTAGATATAAGATGCTGGTTATACCGAAGTTTGCCGTGTAAGCAGTTGTCGGCAGGGGCAGTAAGGGCAGTTTCTCTTTCGCTGGTGGCTGTCGCTCCGCCATGACTTCCACGCGCGTCCTCCCGACTGCGGCAGCCGGGCGCTGCGGGGGTGGGTGGGGGGGGGGGGGGGGGGGGGGTTGGGCTGTGATTGACACTCCATCAGACGCTCCTCTGGCTGTGATTGGTTGTTTTGACTCGTCCCGAATTATTCTTTCCAGATTGAAATACGGGACCAATTGAAGCAGTTTTTTTCACAGATTACATATCACATGTACTACTGTCTGGGCATAGGGACAGTTTTAGCCAATATGACAAAAAAGTGATTTTTAAAAACTTACAGACTTCAGCTTTAAGAGCGCTCCGTTAACGAGGTAACCCTCTGCAGGTGTGTGAGGAGGCGGACCAGAACCAGGCGTCTCCTGATGGAGGAAGGGAGACAAACACAGAAACACAAAAACACACAGACAGGAATCCTGACAGTGGCTGCTACAGTTCTTCGACAATCTGCAAGCATATCTTCCCAATATGCTGCTTAGTACGCAACAAACTTTGCATCAATCCAGTATCTATGGCTACCAGCGCCTGCTGGAGCTATGGTCATCAAGTGTTTTTTTCTAGACTCTGTAAATACAAAACTGTAAATAACTACTCTTGACCATTTAAGGTGCTTCGCAGTGCTGATAGCAGAAGCCCAGAGAGTAGCGGACTTGTGGGTCTGACCATGCCAGAAGAGGAACAAGCGAAGATGGTGTGAACGACAACGAGACCGCAGCAGCAGAAGCGGGCTAATAGCAAAGCTAAAAGCGAACCCCTACAAGCCGCTCTCTTCAAACCTGCTCTCCAATGTCCGCTCACTGGACAACAGTGGATACGACAATCGTTTGTCGTATCCACTTCCAAAAAGCTGACTCTGTTAAGTAAATTCACCAAAGCCTGCCTTCTTCCCCTGACTCTCTGAAAACAAAGAAATATAAAAATGATAACAAAACATAACTTCCTGAATGTTACGGGCGCCGCCATGTTGGTTTGCTTGTTTACCTCTAGAGAGCAGTAGTACCATAGATCATCAATAGGAGGAGAGGAGTCGTGCCCGCATGGTGTATAAATGGTCATAAGGAACAGAGATTGGTATGGATCGGTTTTCGAAGGGTAGTGTAAATCGGTCTAGTGGGTCAGTAATGGTTTGGGGTGGTATTTCTTTGGCTGATCAGAGTCAGCATGAATGGCATAATAAGGTACTGAGATGAGATCCTCAGACCGCTTGTGAGATCATATGCTGGAGCGGTTGGCCCTGGGATCCTCCTAATGCAGGCAGTGCTACACCTTATGTGGCTGGATGTGTGTCAGCAGGTCCTGCTAGATGAAAACATTTTAGGGTATGGATATATATTTAGGGCCCACCTGTTCCCCTGACCTGATTCCAATGGAGCACATCTGGGACATCATGTCTCCACCCACAATCATATTGCACCACAGACTGCCCAGGAGTTGGGCATGCTTTAGTTCAGGTCTGGGAGGAGATCCCTCAGGAGACCATCTACCACCTCATCAGGAGCATCCACAGGAATTGTAGGAGGGTCATACAGACACTTGGAGGCCACACACAAAACCTGCTATGAGGACATTACATCCAAGTTGGATAGGCTGTAGTGTTTTTCCACTCTAATTTTGCATGTGACTTCAAATGCAGATCTCCATTGATTTGTTTTCCAGGGATGATTTTGGTGTGATTTTGCGGTCAGTAAACTTTGTACAGAAATGAGGTATTCAATGAGGATATTTCATTCATTCAGATTTAGAAAGGCGCAAAGCATGGATCAGGTCTTCATCTGATTGTTCAGGTTGACAAAAAGTAGAACAAAAATTCACAGTCTAAATTTGATTCTCCGTCTTCATCCCTATTCTCACCTGTACAAGCTACAGAACTGAGTTTCCCCCCATACTGTTGCAGCGGATGTAAAGGTATCAGATCAAGTGGTTGGAGCATCAGGATACCTCTGAAGTGCTTTTTTTGGAGGTTTTCTAGATTTAAAGCAAACCTAGACCTTATTATAGGGATGACATTTCCCATCTTTAGAAAGAGCAATTTCCTAAAAGGTTGTCAACAGAACCCTTGACAGACCTATAACAGTGCAGTATAAAAGTTTAAAACCAGACTGGAGAGCCTCCATGATGCCCTCAGTGCCCCCACCCAAAAAAAGTATTCACATGGGTAAATAATTTTTTTGTCCAATGTTTTTCAAAAGAATGGGAATGTCAGAAATTATTCTTATGTTTTGCAAGCTGAGGGCTCTATGCAAGTTATTTTGATCCAATTATTAATTTGTATGTGTAGAAACTTTGAGGATCAAACTGGAATGAGCACTTGGTTTATTCTAAGGAAAATGTAGCCAAGTAAAACCCTACTTGGAACAAATATGGAGAAATCATCAGGATAATCTAAAGGTTAAATTTGAGCAACCACCTCTTTCAGTTTTGTAATACCACCACCTCCTAAATATGATATAAGAAAATGTAAGCCAATTCCATTTATTAACAATGTTTTTATTATATGCACATCACACATATTAAAAAGCATTGAATAATCAATCAGTAGCTTCCACTCTTTCAGATAAGCAATGGGTTCATTAAAAACAAAGTTTTGCCCCTGTCATCTCACCACACCAGTGATTCTATGGAGGAACTTATTCCTTCTTATTGAAATACAGCTTAAACAGAGAAACAAACAGCACTGGTGCTCTAACTTATATAGCAGCTCTGGGTGTTTTGTTCACAGTTAGTGTTTAATATTTAGATAAATGTGTTAACCAGGAAGCAAATAAAAACTCAATAAGCTGTTAATCATCTAAGGTCAGCGGTGATTTCTGAGAAGGCCTCAACAGTGGAACTCCGCCATCTTGCCTGGGCGGGATGACTGGCAGGTGAGAGGTGGGTTGAAGACATTGGGGTCGCTGATGCCCAGCTGCAGGCTGAGGAAACGGGTGGAGGTGGTGACGGTGCTGTTCTTGGTGTAGGTCTCCTGCACCGGGTAGCAGTCCTTCAGGGTGTAAACTCCAACCCAAGTCTCATCTGGATACAAAATTAGCAGATGTTATGGAAGTTACAGGCTGATCAGGAGTATAAAGGGTCTGTTATACTGAAAGACCAGAATAGATACATCTAGAAATTAACCTTAATGGAAAGGATGTAAAGCAAATTAACCCTATGCAATCTAAGTTACATTTTTCACTTACAGATGTCGCCCTCTGCTGACAGATAAATAAAAATGCAGGCTTATGCGGCAGAAGCTACGATGAGCATGTTAGGCACTGAGTTTTTTGCACACTGGAAATTATATTTGTTATTTTCTTTAATTGTTTTTTTTTTATTGTGTAATATTTTGTTCTCATCACACACGAAGCAGACTTTTGAGTCACCTCAGAATTCAACCAATTTATCCTAAATGACTCAGCATCTTAGATGATTTCAACAGCTTTAAATGGATTCAGCTGTATTCTCCAGCTTTAGTTAAGCCTCTGTCTTTGAGTTTCATGGAGCGTTGACCGGCATACTTACGCTGGCGTGCCGGCTTCCTATCTGACCACTCCTGAACCTCCACGTTGTCCCCTGGGCCTCCAATGATGTACTGATCCTCGAATGTGGAGTTTTTAGGGATGTCAAAGGGATCCCAGGCCTCCGTCAGAGCAACCTTCGAGCACTCTTTGGTCTTCTGGTCAATCTGGAACATCACCTTGCTTTGATACAGGTAGATATACTCAAAGAACCTGCAACAACAAGAAGATGAGGGATAGATTTGTAGATTGCAAATATTGCATTGCATTTCAGGTCTTTCAGATAACGTCTACAGTGCAATATATTTTGTTACAAAAGCTAGTTTGCAAGCATGTTTTTCTTTGCTTTATTGAGTCTAGAGGTATCAGTCAAATCTGGAGTGCTTGTGTTGTAAGCACAGGTCAAACTAAAGCTGCACACAAAGCAAACGAACACTGATTAAACTGGCTGAAGCCTGGTTTATCAGCCAGACGGCATTTCACAACTCCATGCTAGAGTCTTTACAGAGACTTTGTGTTTGTTTATTCCTGCAGCCCAGCTGATTACTCTACAAACTCTGCAGAAATGCAAGAAACAGAGGAATAAAGGCTGATTAATGTAAACTGCTTAAGCAGCCCACAGGTTATGAGAACACACAAAAAAAAGAAAAGAAAAAAAATCTGATACAATGGAAAAATGTCCAATAATGTCCTAACACAGATCCTTGCGGTACCTTAGAGTCAGAAAGAAAATTATTTTTGTAGGGGAGTGGCGGCCAAGTGATTAGGCATTGTTCTTGGAATCCAGAGATTCTGAGTTCAAGCCCCACTCCCACAGACTGCCACTCCGGGTTCCTGAGCAAAACCCTTAACCCCACACTGCTCCCCGGGCGCCCCACCAAGGCAGCCCACCGCTCCACAAATGAATGGGTTAAATGCAGAGAGTTCAATTCGTTTCTCTGTACTTGTGACAGTATAATGACAATAAAAAAGCTGAAAAAAAAGTAATAATGGTCATTAGTAGACAAGAAAGATTTACCTTGAAGCTGTATAAATTAAACAAACATCTGATTATTTCTTAAATATAAAAAAACCTATAAACATTTCTTAATTCTTAGAAACTATAAGGGAAAAATAACATTTAGTAAATTATTAATATTTAAAACTAGTTTTTCTATTTTTATTTTGGAAGAAACAAATTGGAATATTTTGCCTATATCACTAGTTTAAAGCATTTTCTTCTTCATTGCAAGAGATAATGATGCAGAATTTGATCAAACGCTTTAATGTGCAGTTACTACCTAAAACAGTGATTATGACACAGTCATTATTTCCTGAGGTTTCATCACAGGATTATTGAACCCTACCGCGTTTACTAGGGTTGTAACTTACCCCAGAAACAGGCACTGATGGAGGTTAGAACTTTTTATTTATCAGCAACCTTTGCATGGAGCTGTGCAGATGGACAATGAGAACCATTTCTATCTAGTTGATTTCCTTAGTGTGGAGTTTGCAAGGTCTCTCCAGGTACTCCGGCTTCCTCCCACAGTCAAAAAAACATACCTGTTAGGCTGAATAGTGTCTCTGAATTACTATCAGGTATTAGTGTGTGGTTTTATGTCTATGTGTTGCACTGTGATGAACCGGTTAACTGTCCAGGAGGTACTTTGCTTTTCATCCATAGACTGCTGCAGGTAAACACCAGCCAACAGAGATCCTGACTGACTCGTTGGATTATAACTCAGTCATAACAATTTAAAACTATGAGTATGAACTCTACCTTGATTAAAAATGTATGTTGCTGTGACAGAATCAGTGGTTATAGTTTAAGTATAGTTTAAAGAAAGGCAGATTTAGGTTTTAATATTTTAAATGTACCTGTATCCATAAGAAAAACAAAAAAAGTAGTAAAAACCCCTTCATTAGTCAGAACTAATTACCTGTTAATAAGATGAGTTAATTTGTGACCTAACCAGTAATAACTTATTAAATTAAATGCATTTACTTTAAAACAATGTGTTATTGTTCTCATCACTTTATTTGAGTATTTTTCTCGCTGAAAGATTTCATTTTCTTTTTGTTTAGTTTGAGTAATATTACTTGATCAATTTACCACACTAGGAAATAAGCAATAAAAATACCAATGATTTGTTCAAATATCAGCACTGATCAAAATCCACACTGAAATATAAGCATCATTTTAGAAATGATAAAAAAAAAAATTATCAGGACACTCCTAATTTATACATTTCTTATCTATTAGTCTGGTCAGAATATTTCTGCACTTGCAGGAATTATATACATTTATTATTTATGAATGCACATATTAATATTTAATCCTGGAAACAACAAACTCCATAAAATGTATCTAGCATAAATAAAATATTACCTGGTTCAGTTCAGATTATTTGTTTAGTCTTTATTAGATATTTTAAGTTGAAATCTGAACTACTTTTAACGTTAATTAGTAAATTTCACACAGTTAATGATGTTAACCACTGAAGGAAATAAACTGGGATTTCTGTTTGTTTATATTTCCATGATTAATCCTAGCACTGACTCGGACTAGTTTGTACCTCTGACAGGGAGTGTGTTTCTTGTGCTGCTGCAGAACCCGAATCCTCTGGTTCTGGCCGTCGTAGGAGACCGCGGCCCGGCTGTTTCTGCCCGTGTTGTGGTCGTAAATCACCCACTTTCCCTCCCACTGCAGCGGGGCTTCGCATGGCTCTGCCGCCGGGGCGGCATCCAGTCGCGGAAGGCCGAAAGCCGAAGCTCCAGCAGCGGCAACAAACAGTAGAAACAATCGGTGCATTTTGCCTGAAGTCCCGTTATTTGCTGTCCGGTGCTGGTCCAGGATGAAGCGGGATCTGCGGAGCGCGGCGTCAAGCTGCCCAAAATAAGCTGAACTCACTTCCGGTAGTTTGGTAATACTTAACTTTCAAAGTAAAAGCAAAAAGTCGAAATCTTCCAAAAAATAGTTTAAATTAAATAACATTATATAATATTTAACATCATAAACTAAATCAGATGTCTATTTGATTTTAAAACAAACAAAGAAAAAATAATAAAGCATGAAAATTTAAACTATTAACAAAATAAAAAAACTTTTTGGAGGGGAAATACGTAGACTAAAGAAAAATGTAAAAAATAACGTTCATGTTTTCCCATTTAATGATGAAATTTTATTCATCTTTGCTTTTGTGATTAAGATGATCACAAAAGAATACTTCTGTACTGATGTTTTACTTTTAAGTTCATGAATATACAAAAAACTATTATTTTGTTACATAAACTTAATAAAAATCACTTTCATTATTTTTTTCTTTGGTTTTGAGCTGTAGTTATTTTCGCAGTCACTAGATGGCAGACGCTCCCCACCAGTCTCCATTAAACACACCGCTGCGCACAGAGATGACCTCCACACGAGGCTAAATGCATGTTATTGGGAAGCATCCAACAGGAAAATGTGACATGTGTAGTCAACCAGAAACAGTAGAACATGTGCTGTTTGAGTGTATTAAATATGCAAGTCCAAGAATAGATTTAAGGAAATGACTGGAACATGAAGGAATCAAACAACTGGACATTAAAAATATCTTCTCAAATAAATCCAGAAAGACAGTACTTAAAATCATGTCATCTTATCTTCAACAAACTGGACTAAACCTAAGGATTTAAGGAGACATAAATAAGATCAAGTAGGTGGCGATAATGCTCCATTTGGTTGCAAGTCGCCAGTAAAACAACAACAAGAAGAAGAAGATATGACCTTATTACCCTGGAGCAGGCTGGACAACAAAAAATATGGAACGAAGATAGGAAAGGAAGATTATATGAAGTGCAAAAGTCAGTTCGAATTCGAAGCATTAATGAAAGAAACAGAAGAGAAGTAATAATAGTTAGTAGATTAAGAATAGGTCATACCTACTTAAATGATATGCTTTATTTAATAGGGAGGAAAAATAGTGATAAATGTGAGAAATGTGGTGAAAAAGAAAATGTAGAACACATACTGATAAACTGTAAGTTATATGAACACGAAAGGAAAGAATTAAAGAGAATAGTTAGAAATATAGGGCATGAATGGAATCTTAAAGGAATATTAGGAAATGAAGGAAACATAACAGATATTCATAAACTAAGGAAAGCATTGTTTATGTATCTTAAGAATACAAAATTAAAAAATAGAATCTAATAGATGTGAAGTAACGCTGCTACACACTCATGTACAGTAGGTGGCGGTATGCACCTTAAAGTTGCTTGTGATCCGCCATAATAGAAAAGAAGAAGAAGAAGGCTGGACAACATGGTGAAGAAACAACGTGGGAAAAGCGCCTCTTCGCAGAAAAAGGCTGACAACAAAAAAGTAGCTGATAATTTTAAGTTGGCCATAGAGTCTAGCGATGAAGACGCACCAGAGGAAGTGACCTTTGAGGAGTCGAAGGCTCAGGCTTTTGAGAGCCTGAAACAGGCGGTGGCATCGGCCAGAAGGTGGCTAACACTCAGCTAGCTGTGCTTCATGGAACCTACGTTCCGGAGTTTGGGATAAATTAACAGAGCTAACACATGTATTTACCTTATGACGCGGTGCTTTTGTTGTTTTCTTTCTATTTCAAATGCCGATTTTACTAATTGCATAATAAAATAATAATAATAAAAAAACATGTTAGGCGCATTTCTTCCTCTGTTCAAATACTTTAGTACTAACTTTTAAAAAATCTGAAAGTAATGGACATTGGCCTGAGATCGATTGAATCATGAGTGTGATGAAGTGTTTTTTCTGCTGTTTTCAGAGAGAAGGAGCTGCTGAGGGAGAAGAGGAGGAAGAGACAGGAGTTTTTCCAGGAGCAGAAGGTCTGTTTTACTTTTCTTTGCGCAATCAATGTTTTATTCATTGTTATTTAAACAATTAAAATAAGGATTTATCTACAGATGTGTTTTTTTTTTCACAATATGTAACAAACTTACAGTAGCTACGCACATTTTTCAGTTTCTAGGGTATAAGTTTTGTGAACCTAAAGCACAGACTTCAGTTTTTTAAAAATAATTAGATTCTGTATCTGCAGTCATATAAGATGCATCAGCGTAAGTTCATGTTTTCTCAAAATCCTATAGCCATAATGGTTCCACCAGGAATATATCCTCACCATATATTGCCTCTAAGTAGACTTTTGTGATATTCCACTGTATATTATAACTGGATTTATTGTGGAACTGTAGCCCAGATAACAGAAAACTTTTATTTCCTTTAAATTATTGATGCGCTGTTCTTAGTCAACCATTCATAGGAGCAACTTTTTTTTAATAAAGTTCCCAAAACGTACCCCCTTTGTCTAAATGTAGCTGCTCAGTATTTTAGCCCTGTTCTCTAGCACTATTACAGGCACAAAATGAGCCATCGGTCATTAATACCAGGGCTGGGCTATTAATTGCATTTATAATGTAATTATAGTTCAGCAGAACATAGTCTTCAAACCAAAGGCACTCAGTAATTTTAGATTTAACTTGGGTAAGAGGTAAAATTAAGAGAGAACTTTTTAATGGAAAATGTCCTACATTAATGGGTTCTGGACAAACAAGCTTTCTGTGTCATGAAAAAACTGAAGCCCTGCAGTGAAATGAAGATCTAGTTCACTTAGATGGTAGCAACTTTATTTAACATTTAAAACGTGCCTGCAGAGTTACTTTGCATCTACTGACATGAATCGTCAAGTTTTCATTAAAAGTTTTTCTATCGTTTTCAATTAACTAATATTCACAGAAAAGGAAGTTCCTGCCAGCTGATGTGTTGGAGAAAATTGACTCGACGCCTTTAGAGTAAGTTCACTTTTCACACTCGCTCAACTAATTCCCCTTCATCTCTTAACGTTTGTCTTTTCTTTTTTTTTATTAGGGAACAGAAAAGGTCTGAGGATGAAGGTAAAGTCTCCAGTTGGACTCAAAAATTAGGTCAATATTTTAATCTGAGCATTAGCAGAGGATCAGAAATAATTGATTCAGCTTTTTTTCTTTACAGCTGAAGAGGTTCCAGAAAATGATGATGGTGATAATGAAGAAGGAGGAAGTGCAAAGAGGAAGAAGGGGAAACTCTCAGGTGTTAGAAGGTAAAAAGAAAAAAAACCCTGTTAATCACCAAATTTGGTCGTATAATCAAAAAGGATAGTTTTTAACTTTAAAGTGAATCTAACCTGAGATAAATCGGTGATAACATTTGAAAACATTAGATTTCAGGAAGTAAAATCAAAACTCTCCTCCTCTTGCTCATTTAAAACTCACCTGAACAGAGAAACACCTTTCCTCTGCTGCTCTGTCTTTCAGCCTGAAGGGAAACTACACGGTTACCACGGTGAAGGAGCAAGAAGCGGCCAACTTCCAACGACAGGTGGCCGAGGATTTTATCCGCTCCAGATTGTACGGAGCGGGAAGCTGCAGGAGCACCAGTAAGAAGCCCTGATTCTAATGAATAGACCCTGGAGCAGCCATGTTGGTTCAGACTTGTATGATTTTTTATTTTTTTTTAAATAATGTCTGTAGATTGTACATTAGTTTTCATTCAATTTAAATGAATGACAACTTGGATTTTATCTTGCAATAACCCCCCACAGCTTAACAGTTTCCTCTAATAATAGCTGTAAAATTAAGATGATATGCAAGCTACACTCTGTGGCAGTCGTCTGCAAAGACCGTGATCTGCCTCAATTTGAGCTTTGCTACAGAATCTTTCCGTCTAGTCTCTCTGGGGCTTCCTTTCATTTGGTTGTCCTGCTGGAGACACAACGGGAACATCCACATCCGTTAGGCAGATCTTCACCCTAACCTTAGTCCCTGTTTTAAGCTTAATGTCTTCGTCCCTCCAGGTAATGAGCTGCTGTCCCTCCAGAACAAGAGGGGCCCAAACAAGAGTGCAGCTGTGCAGTTTGTTAAAAAAGGCTGGGGTACGTTTGGGAACTTTAATTTTAAAACAAAATTTGTTCTTGTAATGGGTGACTGCAAACAGAGCATCAAGAGTTAATGTTGTATTAAGAGTTTGATCTGATTGGAGAACTTTTCCTTTTCCAGCCTGTAAGGAGAAGGCCAAAGCTGAGAAGCTGAACAAGAGGTGGATCCAGACGCAGCAGGTTCCCTCCAGCTGACCACCGCATCAGGATGCTACGCAGTCCTCCTAACGTAACGGCAGCCTGAGGGCATCGCATTACTCTGCTAAATGTTCCAGAAGACGTAAATCATGGCCGACATGGAGAAAGAAGCCGTTGGAGCTTCAAGAGGTTTTGGACTGAAGGACAGAGCTGAAAACTGAAGATTCAAAAAAACAAAAAAAAACCTTTCAAAGCGAGAAAACATCTTGAATGGACTCATAAGCTCACCTTCCTTTCAGGTTTTATAAAAGTAGCAGCATCTCTTTATGTACAAATTACATTTTTTTTGGTACTGTTATGCAACTTATGTATATATTTTTTTCCCAAATAAAAATGTTAACATATTCTAGCTCCAGTAAAAAAAAAAAAAATGTTTTATTTGGATCTTAATTTCTGATTTATAAACTCGCAGAAATCATGTTGAACCAAAATCTCTACCATTACCACTAGGGGGCATCAGTGGTCAGAACAATTGGCTGATGCATCCAAATTGTTAAATATATCAGTGATGTGTAGTTAATATTTGTACTCCTTTAATAAAGGAAATATGGAAGAATGCAAAGGAGAATCACTTTTAAGAGAAATTTGTCTTATCTTTGGATGGAATAACCCGTCTTTCTGACTGTTCTCATATTCCTGTTTTTATTTAAACATGTTTTTGATGAATTCTGGGGTTGGAAAGGCTCTTTGCCATGACCTTAATTTCTATATCTTTTAGGCTGGATCTTTTGGCAGGTCACTCAACACTTCCAGTCCAAAAATGAAAAAACAGCTTTAGCTGAACTCCATTTCTGCACTTTTCTTCCATTGTTGATCCAGTCGTATTTTCCATAATCCCACGGTAATGCTTTTGATTTAAAAGACAAATTCCTGTTCCCAGAATATTAAGCTTCTTATTGATAATTAGCCATTTTTCATGAAGGTCATAGAAACAAGAGTTCAAATAAAAAAAAATCCTTTCAAGACTTTCTTCCTTTTTCCATTAATTCATGGATGAGGAAATGTTTTCTCCTGGCTAATATTGGATAATAATGCAGAACTTAATGCAGTTACTCTTTGAACTTTGACCTTGGAAAAAACTGAATATTCCAAGTAGAACAGTAGAAAGAAAGAAGAGGCTACAACATATCTCAGACTTTTAGAGAATAAATATTTTGGGTGTTGAAAGACAAAAGGTCTGATAAAACCAAAAGATTTCTACTTTTTTTTTTTACTTCAGTGTGATTCAGGTACTATTCTGAGAAGCACATCACACAGGATTAATTTGACCTGAATCCACAAAACCCCCAGAAAGGAGGACGGAAACAGAACCCGAGCTTCGGGCCTGACGCAGCATCCACACAAGTTGTCTCATCATTGTCCTTTTTAATATAAATCTTTTCACCCTCACACAAATTGCACATTTTTTTTTTTTATCATCTCCACATGGACAGTCAGCAGTGGACAACGTACTGGTTGACATCTTCCTTAAAACACCGTGAACTGGCTATAAAGGAGAACCAAACGGAAGAAAAATAAAGGAGACATCTAACTTGATCTTACCACCACTTTACTATGGCATGCATAGGTTTCAGACCTTTACTCAGAAAGAGACAACAGACAATTTGCTAAAAAAAAAAAATCTTTTCTTTTTTGACTGCTTGTGATCTGCAAAATAAAAATAATAAAAAAAGGAGGAAAACAGGACTCAGAAAAGCTCAGTTCCACCTGGATGAGTACCGGGCACCAAACATTACTTTTTGTAGCAAAGCCTCTCATTATTACCGGCCTGCTGATTATGACACCTAAAGCGCACAGCTGAGCACTTTTCTTCCAAAAATATTTGGTTTAATGTTGTAGCCACAGTGCATTTGACAAAATACTGAACGTTCTTTATGCTTTTTTTTTTTTTTGCTTGAGAGGGGATGGGAGAGGTTCTCCCTGCAGGATCAACTGGTTGGATTCTACAGGTGAAGATAAGTCATTCTAGACCTTCTAGAACCCCAATCATGATTAGAAATCTGTTTCTTTCTGATTTCCTGATCCCAACAATAAACATCGGAGGCTTATTTCCATTTCTGCAAACTAAAGGTGAGAAACAATCCACCATGTCTTCAATATTCATATATTTGCAGAAAAAAAGCCCCCCAAAAAAAATACCACCACTGCTGTGCTTCCTTTTTAAATGCACTTCTATACACTGTAGCCAGAAACTTGATGTCTAAAGCCTCCATCTGAAGCTGTGTGTTAGTCACGACAAATTCCTACCCACAGTAGAGCAACAGCAACTGCTTCTAATTACTTTAACAGCTTTAAAACCTGGAAACTAAAAAAAAAAAATTAAATTTAAAGTTTATAATTGACAAACAGAAGTCGCCTTAATAAAACCTGAGATCTGTACTTTGAAGCAGGATTAAGATGCCGTCTGATCAATTTATAGGAGCCTTTAAGGCATGATGGGTAAAAAGTAAAAAAAAGAAAATGGTTCATTTCAAGTCTTTTTTTCTCTAATTTTTTACATCAACTCAGCAAGAGCAGATTATGTTATTGTTTTTAAAAAGTATTACCAGGTGCGACTGTCTAACTGGCAGATTGTTGCACTTATTTTTGAGTACATTTTTCTTATCAGATTAATAATCTAAGAGAATCTGATCTTAGGTGTACGATCTCACACACTCAAAAAGACTTTAGGCCTAATATCGTAAAACTTGGATAGATGGAAAGTTTTTGCAGTAAAAGATTTAATGTAAATGTGCCGAAATAAACAGTTTACATTTTAGACCAGAGAGTTTGTTCATTAATACGTCCTATTTTGCTCCCAACATAAACCAAATTGTAATGTTGGTTTAAGGACACAAAGCTGTGAAGACTTCTGCATTATAAACTACATTCATTCCTATGTTTCAGTCTATTGTTGACTGGTTATATTCAAGCAGGATGTATTTATTTTTCTGTTTCTATGCAGATTTTCTTTTACATCATCTTATAGTGAATGTGGTCAAAACAGAAAACTGCTGATAAAGCTGAAACAGCAGATAGTACACCTGAAGCAGCTCGAAGACCATTTCCTTAAATCTTTATTTAAGGAAATGGTCTCTCTAACACACCCAAACCTGGCTAAAAAAACGGGCGTTTTGTTTTTTGCTTTTACACAGATCCAGCTCTCCGCTGTGCTTTTCTTTGTGTTCCTATGCAGCAGGAGGCACCAGTTAATAAGATAGGACAGAAAGCTCAAGTCTTGACTGAATTAAATTGGCTCAGATGAAGCTAGTCCAGTAGGCAGAGTTCTTTTGTTTTATTAAATGGTGGGGGATGGTGGGGGGAGCTGAAGAGGTGATTGGATTGTTCCCATTCTCTAACCAAGGATGCATTTTAGAGATGAACCCATCCTATATTAATATATGTATCATCTTGATGTGGAAAATTCTAAATCAGGTATTGGTAAATTAACCCTATCCATTAAGGCCATTAAGCGTGTTCTATGTCTAAAATGAAATAAAAATATCTAGAATAGCTTTCTCCTTTTGATTCAGTAAATTCAGTGACTTTTAAGCCTTCCAGGAAGGATTTGTCCTATTAACGCATTTTAACGTCTATGGTTTCTTTTTCTTACCCCTGCCTTTGCATTTTGGGATATACATGTGTTTATTTATTTATACATATGTACATTTTCTATATTTTTATTTATTAAAGAGGCTGTCATCGCAGCTCTGGTATCGGAAGTGGCAAAAATGTATATCAGAATCCTCTCGCACCGTTTACGAATATCAGAGGTGTCAAGTAACAGAGTACAAATACTTTGTTACCTTACTTAAGTAGGATAGATTTTTTATTACCATCTATACTGGAGTAATTATTTTTTTAGACAACTTTTTACATTTTTAATTTCTACTCCTTATTTTGAAAATAGATTCGTTAGTTTCCTTTCATTTAAGCTACCTTTCATTATGGCCTGTTGGTATGAAAAAAAAAAAAAAAAAAAAAACCCAATCAAAATAATCTGTTTCATCCTGACAATTTCTTTGTGGTTTGACTGGATACTGCACCAACTTGTTCACCACATACCAAAATTATTTTAAGATGATGCAAAGTTAAATTTGACACTCTTGCCATTAGTTATAAAACTAAGAAAATTAAATATAAGGTTATTTTGTAGAAAAATGTTTTTTTATATAGCATAGGCTTGTTTTTATACTTTAATTAGTTTTAAAAAAAATGGTACTTATACACTTTTAAGTTAAAAAGCTTTAAGCTCTAACTTCTACATAAGTGTTTTTAAACAGTAGGATTTATATTTCCACTTAACTTTAATACTTTTACTCTATTATCCTGAGCTGCTGCCATGTTGCAGGTTTATAGAGCTCTCTGCCTCAAGCTGTTAAAAAGCCAAACTGCTCGTTAGATTATGCCTATAACTATTTTATCTGCTATCAATTTTACACCAATCCTGTATTTTTGTACCCTGTGAGTAAAAAAAAAAAATATTTCATTGAAAATCTTCAGCCACAGTAGCAAACGTCTGCTGTTAGTAAACAAACTAAACTTGAACCTAATGATGTCGCCGATAAGAAAGAGCCTTTTACCTTTTTCCTTTGTGTAACAGCTTTAGAGGCTGTGTCTTAACGCATCGTCTTATCTTCTACAGATTAGGTTCCCATTATCAGTTATTAAACCTACATCATAACTTAAATGCACACTAATCCTGCTTGGAAGGTACAGACCTCAGGTGTGTTTACTCTGCTTTATTGGTACCAATGTGAGGAAATCATTCAAATTTAAAAGGAAAAAATAAAAGGACATTTTGGCTCCTGAGTTTTTTTTGTGGGGCAAAATGGCAGCAAATAGACAATCAATAGGAAAATAAAGATTGTTTGCAAGAAAGAAGCTTTACAGCCGGACATCTGGAGGGTTAAAAAAAATAATAAGACTGAGAGACCAACAGGGCTCCTTCCCAGAAAGCACTGATCTTAGCCATTAGAGTTGAGACTTTACTACCTGGAGGATCCCTGGAGTCAGACAGCCAACAGAAAGAACTAGACACAACCAGCCTGCTTCAGCGGTTTGCTGGTGTCAGGAAAAGTATTAAAGGTTTTCTTTTTTCTTCTTTTTTATTTTGGTAACTAAATATGTCGCTCTATTGATATATTTCCACTTTGTTATATAGAAACGTTTACATGTACACACGCTGGTCACTGGGAAATCGGTGGAATTGGGACCTTTATTATAATAAGTAGGTGGAACTCGCTCTTGCTGGCGCTCAACAAATATACTGTGAATGCAAGTAACAATAATTATATAATGATAATTACAATAATGATAATAATCATCATTATCGTCTGCACCATGCCTTGTAAACCTGGGGAACACAAACTAAAAACCAAAACAAGAGGAGCCAGGTGAACCTCCTCCACAGCAGCCCCTACCCACAAAAATAAAACAAAACGAAACAGAAGATTAAAAACGGGAAACGTCAAGTCGTGACTTGCAGATTCTCTCCTGCTTCCTCGAAGTCCACGTGCGTCCGACCGCTGCCCGCGTCCCGAGGTGGCCGGAGGGCTGAGAGGAGTGGGGAGGTGGTGCAGCGACTAGCTGTGGTTTGAGCGCTCAGCGACCCTCTGCGGTTGGACACTCCTCAGACCCGTCCTCATTGGGGAAGGGGGGGTAGGTCGCAGTATGAGTGCATGATCACCTGCTGAACCATGTCTACTAGATCCAGGTTATTTTGTGTTTCTGCCTCCATTTCCCCTCCCATGTATGCGTAGCAGCTTCTCCAGGTAGTTTTCACTTTGAAAGCCGTCCCCTCTCCCTCCCTCCCTCCCTCCCTCCCTCCATCAGGGGGATGCAGATACAGCAGCCTCTGCGGGCTGAGGGATGGGAGAGGCCGGGGGGGGGATGTACGTTATTTACGATGATGGAGGCGGAGTCTGTTTGTTTTAAATGTATGTGGTTTGATCTCTAAAGATTTATCCAGGAATGACATCGATCCTCCTCTGCATTCATGCTGACTGCAAACAGCAGATCAAAGCAGTGAGATGGTTCAGTCTGCAGGTGGAGCAGAGAAAGATCTCCCCAGCTCAAGGATTGAGGACGATGACATCTCTGGATGAGCCTTCAGGAAGAGCGTGTAAGGGTGTGTGTGTGCGTGTGAACACGGGGCTAGTGCAGGTAATCGTCCACAGAGGCGAAGGCGCAGGAGCCGATGCCAGTTCGTGCCATGATGGCGAGGCACTGGGCGGCCTGACCCACAGCCTGGGCCAGGGGGGGCTGCTTGGGGAGGTTGTGAGTCTCTGGAGACGAGAAACAAAGAACAGCAGGGATGTCAGAGCTCAACTTCCATTCTAACCATGCATTACCCTGCTTACATCCACCGAGAGCCTCATTTTCAAACAGACAGGAAGGTTTCTACACTACAAAAACACTTTATGGAAGAGAAAAAATAAGAAGGCGTCTATGAAAAGTAGGATGAAGTTTCTTTCTAGATTTGACGAGTGAACAGCAAACATGGAAGAAGGTGGGTTCACTTTTCACCAGGATACCAGAAGCTATTAATCATTTACCAGTGTCCCTAAAGACCTCACTGTCCTGCAGGTTTTATAACAAACATCTGTAAAGAAGGAGCTTTATGTAGATAAAGTATCGTTCTCCGGTTCTTATAAACAGCTTCCATCCTCTCTATGCTCGGACCTACAGACTTTCAGTTTCAGATTATTTGTGAGGAGGTACTGAAAGAGCAGAACTCCGCCTCAGAGCAGACTTACCTAATATTGCACTGTTGAGAGTGGAGCAGACCGGCTCTCTCTGAACGGCGTCCAGCTGGTAGCCAACTGGGCTGCTCCAGGGGTCAGAGTAGGCCAGCAGGCTGAACGCATCCTGCAGCAGGACACAAGAGGAAACTTATGGAACAACAGGCCATTACATGGGTTCCATCAGCAGTCCAACACTCTGCAGCTGCCTTTAGACTGAAGGCTGCATGTGGATCAGAGCTGAAAAAACTGGGAAGAAAAAATGCAGTAATCTTTTAATATCTTATTTCTAGTTCTAATTAGGTGGATGAATTTATAATTTGGACAAAGTGACTAAATGGTTCGTTTCCAATATTTATCCCGACCTGAAAATCTCTTGATTAAATTCCAGACTTTTTCAGAATTAAAAGAAAAAAGAATAAAATGACAGAAAGGAGGTCGCAAAGGCTAAAAAAAGCAATGTTTACATTTTTTAGAAAGTAACTGAAATAGCCAAAATTACATCAGTGTAAATTTTTGAAGGCTCATAAAACAAGGAAACTAATCATTTTGTGAAGGAGAAGAAATTTTAATCTGAACTTTTTCAACATGTTATGCTGCATTTTATGAGTGGCAGCAGGAAGCTTTAGTGCCGCTGCTTTATTAAAACACTTGTGGCTGATATTCAGGTGCAGCAGTAATCTCAAAACTACATTAGAAACTCAGAAAAGAAATTTTGATCAACTTATTGTTTCCTGTTAACAACAGATGTTGTCCTGTTTTTTTTTTTCTTAGCACATTGTGTCCTCTTTTTTTTCTTTGCATTATAAACATATAGCCTAAAAGATTTACTGTCTATATAGCAGTTCCATATTTCCTCTAGATTGTGCAGTGATTCCATTTAAAGGTTTTATGTTACCTTCAACATCTTCTTATTGGCTGAGTTCTTGCCACACTCCCGGCGGAGGTGTTCGCTCATGCTCTGGAGCTCCCTGCCGAAGTGGATCATTCTCTCGATGGCCGCCTGGCTCCCTCCACACAGCTGCCTCTTGGACTGAGCTGATTCCACCTCTGCAGAACCCCGGTCAGTTTGGCATGTAAGAAACGCGCATAGGTTTTAAATGTTAGCTCAACGATTTGGTTCTTTAAGGTCAGTTTTTTTTTTAAGCTAAAAAAATCTCCCAAATAGGTAGAGATTAAACAAATGAGTTCTGTTCTGTTTTTATTGTGTATCGAGTAGCTTACAAGTGGATTGTCCTTTAACCCTGATGCTGGAAAAGAAGCTGCTAACATAGAAATTAATCAGCAGTGAAACAGAAAAGGCAGGAAGCAGGTGGCGCTGTTGACATGTTGAATTTAAGCCTCCGTCATCCTGAGAAGCTCTACCCACCCATCACTGCATCACAGTCATCTGGTTCTGCGGCGTGTTTAGAGGTTCCGTTCAGAAAACCATTGGAGGAGGACTCGGTGACTCCGTTGGGGAAGTGGTCCACCTCCATGTCCACATCGTTACTGAGGAGAAATGGCGGAAACCAGTGAGAACGCTGCTGGTCGGCTTTACCAAAACATTACAAGCTTTTAGGTGTTTTTCACTAAAATAAAATATTTTAATGATTCCATAAAAAGCTCCAAACTAACCCACTTTTTTACCATGGCTGTATTGAACTTAGATTAGTGCAGAATCTCCCTCCCCCACCTGTTTCCGCATGCAACAGTTTAGCTACCTACATAATTACTTTTGTTTCCAAGAAAAGCAAATTGAGCTGAATGGAAAAAAATAACTTCTTGCTGTGACAACAGAAGCAGGAGGACAATTGATTATCAGTGTAACACGCTGTAAAATCCTCAGCCGATGAGTTATAAGCAGCAGCTACATTATGCAGCCCATCTACATGAGCAGAAAGCCTGCTTCTCTACAAAGCACAGAATGACCATCAAGGAAATGTTTCTACAAAGTCAGTATGCAAGTTATATGCTAAAGTTAGTTGGTGTTTAATCTCTATATTTGCTTAAATCTAAAATTTTTCCACTTGTTAGAATACTACATAACAGAGGTTATGAATGCAAAACTTTAATAGAATGGGATTCTTTTTTTCACGTGAAATAAATTCTCCATTTTTCTTTTAAAGCTCTGTATAATTGACATGACGCCATTAGGCTGTAGTTTTTACTCATGGTAAGGAAATCCTTCCCCTCTTCCTCACATTTAATCTGCCCTGAATTCTGTCTTACAGGGATCAGTTCTCAGTACCTGGTGATGATGGGCTGCTGGCTGCGGCTCCCGTTCAGGCTGATGTCGGAGCCCTGGAGGGCAGAGCCAGAGCTGGGGGGGCAGGGCTTGTGACTGTGAGGGGAGGAGCTGTGGCTCTTATTAGACGTCACACCATTACAGCAGGTGCTGTCAAACCCTACAACAGCATAAAAGAGATGCAACAAGGAATTTAATCCCGATAAAGATGCAGTTACAGTCAGAATCGATCAACCAAACATGAGACAAAATGTTCCCCCAGTGGGAGTTCTGTTAGTTCTGATTATCTCGGGGAGCGTACCCGTGAGGTAGGGCTGGGAGCTGCTGGCTTTGTGGCTGGGGCTGCTGAAAGATCGCGGGGAGCCGGGGTAACTGTCCTGAGACTTAGGACTGCGTCCTCCAAGACACCTCACCTCACTGTCTGTCCCGTTCACCATCTCTATGAACTGTCTCACCCTGGAGAAACACCACAGTGAGATTACAACAATTATATAGTAAACCATGAACAAAGGAGACAGAGAAACCCTCACTGTTGGCGCCACAGAGAGCTTAAATGATTTGGAAAATTCTTTTACAATTAAAACAATTATAAAAAGAACAGTTGATGCAACATTTTGTGGTAGGTGTTGACTGAATAAAGTGTAACCATGATTCAGGATTTACATCTACTTAAAGGGTTCTGAAGAGTCTTACTTGAGCATAAAGAGGAGGTCTGGGTTTCTTTCCAGGAGGTTTGGGTAGAGCTGCTGGGTGGTCTCAATGGCTTCGCCCATTCTACCTGACAACACCAACTTCTGGATCTCTGCAAACCAACAGAAAAAGTTCAGTCCAGTGATGGATTTACAGGTTTGTTGAGTTTAGATGCTGCTGCCTTCACGTTTGCCATGTTTCAGTTGTTTCTTTGCTTTGAAACACAGTGATTTAAATATCTGAGCCACCAGCATGGCTCTGTGGAACCAATCCAGAGGACTAGTCATCTCCACCAGGGAAACATACACAAGTTGACCACAGCTAAACCATTAAGATACTCACTCTGTCTGTTTTTGATGGAGGCTAGCTCCTCGTGCACGGCCTGGTCAGTGGATTTAGCGAAGGCTTCGGCGGTGGCGCAGTAGCTGTGGTGCACCAGGTAAGAGGCTACCATTCTGCAGGGAGATGGGGGGGGGGGGGGTGGGGGGGGGGGGGGGGCAGCATTCTGGTTAGAGATCAGTATAATATGGTCCGGTGACACTGAAAGCTTGAACTTCAGAGCACATTTTTCATCGGTCAACAGGAAACCTACAAGCACATAGAGACTGAAAAACAGACGCATTAAAAACAGGAAGCTGGTTTGTACACAAAGGAAAACCTGTGAGTTTTTGTTCTCACTTCCACAATCTTTTAAGGCTGCAAATACAATCCATAATTTTATTAATCGTATTTCTTACTGGCATAAAATAGTTGCAGTACAAATGTTTTCCAACATGTTCTGTTTGTTACAGGCTGCTAGAATCTCTCATGGAACTGACTGCTGTCAGAGCCAACGAGGTCAGCAGGGAGATCTGTGATGAGGCCTCAACTCTAGAAAACGAGCTACTCGATACACAATAATAACTGCTTCCAATGCATACGGCCATTGGCCCCCTGCCCTCCATCTACCCACAACTGAAGTCTGGTTGAAATTATTGCAATAGAAGTCTAAACCTTTCCCAGCTTGGCTGGAGAAAAATGGACTACAGTCTGTTAAAGTTGAAGATCAGTGTTCAAGCACTTTTTAAGGTCTGTGACTGAATCGGTATCATGTTATCAGTAACCGTTTACTTTAGCTGCTATCAAACTAAACAAAGAACCTATTTAAGCTATGGCGTTTACTGTGGATTTTAATTTTGCTACTTGTTGATCCCTTGTTGTCAGTCTGAACAAAGCCGCCACCCACCATCCTTAGGAGGTAATTGTTTTAATCCAACTTCTTTCTTCTTCTACTTTCTTTTCATGTGTGCCAGCACTAATGTGCCACCCACTGGCGTGACATAAGTATCACAGCTCCTATGTGGCTCATCTTTACACCCAAGTTTTTTCTGTATGCCGATTTTATTCGAATTAGTGAGGATAACCGGCATATTGGTGGAAAACAGCAGGAGTTTACTGTTTGGATTCTCAGAAATGTGCCTCTACAGGGAGAGGAAATAAATAAGATTCTCATACAAAAAGGAATCTTTGAAGAATGATTTCTAAGTATAGATTATATCAAAGTAGGGCTGCAACTAACAGTTGAACTAATTGATTAGTCTGCAGATTAATAGTCTGATAGCACGGACCGAGTTCAGTTTGTCAAAAACAAATTAAATGGATAAAGCTTTAAATCTCTAAGGTCTACAATCAGAGTACGTCTGGACAACTTTTCTTTTGACTTTCTCAACCATTCTGGACAGAACACAAAACATAATAAATCCATATAAAAGCATTTTACAGCAGGACTGGAGAGTATCAGTGCTTTCTACTTGGATGCCCATTGTGATCTGCACTGAAGCTTCACACATCGTTAGGCTCAGCTGTTGATCAGAGACCCCATAGTAGCTTTTTATAATACAATAAGCGAGCTTAGTTTTATGCATGCTTTCATATTAAAAAGTTAACCAAATGTTTTTTACTTTTAACTGGTTCACAAATGTCACATTGTGTTCATTTACTGCATCATTAATCATTCTAAAACCAAAGCAAAAAAAAAGAAAAAGAAAAAAAAAAACCTTGGATGTGACTAAAATGAGCTAAGTAATCGGTTACTTTGTGATCAGGGCTCTCCTGCAGTGATTCTGAATCTCACAGGTTTAATCAGGAACAACTGGGTGTTCTAATCCTCTTACTTCTGGATCATAGACTGCCACTCGCCCTCTCGTTCTCCGATGGGGAATCTGTCAATCTGGGCCTGGATCTTTGTCCTCCACTCCCGCATGTAGTCCTCAATGTCAAAAACAAACGGGTGCTGGCCGAAGTTTGCATCCACCACCTCGCCTGGTGTCTGAAGTCCCACAGTGGGGTACAGGTTTGGCTGCAGGGACAAAGACAGCGTTAATAAGTTAAATACAGTGTGTGATCTTTTAGGAATTTAATCTGGACAATAAATCAAGACAGGAAATAGTGAGAGAGGGAAAAACAGGAAAACGGAAACCTGAAGAAATAACCTTTTGTCTGTAATTAACCCTAAAAACAAAACTAAATTTAAAGCTAAAAGGCAACTAATAGAAACCAAACAGGAAAGTTAAGAGTTAAAGCTTCTTTTAGATAAAACAGCATTCAGAATCATTTCCAATGAGCAGATGAAGCCATTATGGCCATGTTCATACTGCAGACCTTGAGGCTCAATTCCGATTTTTTTTGTGAAATCATATTTTTATGCGTTGCCGTTCACATTTCCAACTATATGCGACTTGTATGCGATCTCCTGTATGAACTGCATGAATTCAGCACAAGTGTCCCGCATGCACACTAAGACTGTGTTTACGGAAGTAAATATGGATGGTAGTGCTGGAACACATCTAGCAATCTTTCCCAACCATAAAAACTAAATCTTTCCAAGATGGTTAAACATAAATACTGCGCATCATCGTCCGCCATTGTTGTTGTTTTTCTTGCCACTTCTGTGTAGCAAGAAGCAGAAGCATGACCCCTGTCGGGTAATAATGACATTTAGGTCGGATGAACGTGACCTGGCCGTTCAGGCACAGGTCGCATTTGAAAAGATCAGATTCGTATCAGATTCAGGACCACATATCCAAGTGGCCTGGGTCGCATTGAAAAAAAATCAGGTCACATATGGGCAAAAAAAAAAAAAAAAAATCGGATTTTGGTCACTTCAGGCTACAGCATGAACGTATCCTATGTCCAACCATTACTGTCTGGTCTGCTCATAAGGCTAGCTTCAGAGATTTAAGACCCTCAGTTGAGGGAATGTAAAGGCTCCCCATAAATGTCACCTCTAGGCATCAGTAGTTATTCAGCATAACCTCTAAATTTGAAAATGAATCCTCTCATCTCTACTAATTATACTTTAAACAACCTGCAAATAATAATTTATTTTATATTTAGAAAACCCAATAAGACAGGAGCAAAACCTCATGCCAAGCATTTATTCAAAAGGTTCAGTAAATCCTGTCAGGACTACACCCTTTAACAAATGAAGGTTGAATATTGATAGTGCCAAGACAGATCTATGCCTAAAGCTTTATATGGAGTTTATGCATATTTATAAAGCCAAATTAACTGTTTCTAAACCAACAAAATATAAGCTTCTAGTCTGTCTTTGTGATGAGTTATAATTTAACAGGAACAGATGCAATAATGTAGCCTGATAAACCAGACTAAATGTAAAATGAAATGTGTAATTTAGTCTGGCCCCAATGATTAAGACATCAGAAGATTGTTGATGAGAATAACCTGTTGTCTTTCAAATCATGTCTGTGCCTGTTGGCCAACGCTCTGACCAATGAGCACAACTGCCTGTGACGTAGTAAGAGCGACAGAAAGCTGGTGGGGAGTGTAAACAAACAGCATGTGATGTGAGCAGTGAATAACTTGAGATCATGGAGTCGGACTATTGTTGTCGTTTGTGCAAAAAAGAAATGAGAGTAGCCGGTGTACTACGCCACTATACACAACTTTTCCGAAGTTCATATCAACCATTGCCAGTGGCAGAAAGATTACAGAAAGTTGGTCTGAACGTTTCGATTACACTGGGGAAATCCAATGGACTCCGTCAAGCTTGTGCAACAGTGTTGAATAGACTGGAAAGTGATATGCAATTTTATTGGAGGTGGATTGAAAACGAGGTCGAAGCAGGTGCCCCACGCAGAACGAACAGCGGCTGAAAAGAGAGCTCGGGAGCCTATTCCCTCGAAAGCACTGAAAGTCTTGAAGATGCTCCACCACAACACAGACAGGCCAAGGATATCTGTCGCTCTTCCGCTGAATATAGCCGAAGTAAGTTGACATTATCAGTATACAATTACAGCAAATCTATCTGCTTAATTTTGTAACACAGTTGTGCACACGTCATGCAGCTTTCTCGTCATGCCCTTAAAACCCTGCCCGCTTTGCATCCAATAATTCAAAACACATCTCGCGTTGTGATTGGCCAGCCAGTTCTAGGGCCTGGGGCATTGATCGAAGCTACACCAAACTCGCAGGCAAAAATGATTTTGGCCGCTGGCGGATGGGGCTAGTTTAATAGGCTAGCAATACTTGTATCCTTAAGTCAAAAAGAGAGAAAAAAAAAATACAACAAATGACCCTCTGAACTGAGATTAAGGACTGAGAATGTTGGAGGTCAGCAGGTAACCACGGAATTTATAAAAAAAAAAAAAAACAACAGTTTTCTTTGTGGGCTTGTTTTGCTGATGGTCACAAACAACGCAGCCAGTGGCAACTTTCACAAATCTTTTAAAAAGTGTAACCAGACCATGATCGAGTCAAAGTGTGACGTGGTTCTCCACATCTAAGGAAGAACGTTTAAAACTAATCAAAGACAGCATAAACACAGCAATTAAAAAGGCCCTTAAAGAACAGCAGAACAAAGCTGGATGTGTCTCTGTCAGACTCGTCTTTGTAACGGATCAGTTACCATAAAGGTCAGCTGTGCCGAGGTGACGCACATCACTGCTCAACTCTGAAGGAACATGAATGTCAGGCTCAGAGCCAAGTCTGTTGTGCTGCTCAATAGATCACTGTTGGAGCCAAGACTGTTTTTTTCCTCTTCTTTTTCTTCTGAGAAAACAGAAGATCTGTGTTTTCATTTTAATCCAACTATGCAGAAGGTGGAGGAAGGAGACAAAAAAAGAAAAAAACATTCTAAGCTCAGTTAATAGATGCATGAATGTCAATGAAACTAATGCCTATTTGGGGGAGGAGGAAAACATACAAAACTTCCAATGTTGGCTACTAATTCCAGACTATCAGCCGCTAATGTAGGTCTATTTTTTCAAACCTCCACTTAAAGTATTAGTGCTTCCTAAAAAGTGTTTCCCCCATCTCCCTTCATACCAACCATGCTATGGTTCCTACCTGCTGAGTTGGTTTCACCTCGCTTAGTGACACCAAGGACTTAAAAGTATTATTTTTATAATCTACTCATCTACAGAAAGGAAATGTGGGTTTATGACTAAAAATAATATCTTTCTGCAGAAGGTCATGTAGAGCTGTTTTGAACTGATCACTGTTCATAATCTGTCATTTTAAACGCAAACTGGACCAAACAGGGTAAAAATAAAAAACTAATGCAAAAAAAAAATAAAAAATAATCACAAAGTTCTCAAAAAATCTCAAAATAATAATGTGGAGAATGGAGATTTAAAGACTTATGTCCAGAATTCATGGAAACACTCACAAAAAAAATGAATTCTGACTTTTAAAGCTGGCAGTGAAATGATTTGGTTCATATAACAAGATGGAGATTAAAGGGGAGAAAATGTCGTAAAAAGTTAAATTTTTATTTTTATTTTTAATGGGACCGAGATCCAGGGGTTGACAATAATTCAATAAATATTGCTCTATCATTTAATTCAACTATGGTGAAAAGACTGATCTGATATATCAGTAATAGTTTATAATTACAGTTTTTGTCAGTGATTGACGTTACAGGCTCGAGGCTCTTCTTCTCTCCATAAAAGAAATTTCATCCCAGCGCTGCGTGTCCCAGTAACATCATCATTAGTGACCCCTCACACCCCCACCATGGACTGTTCTTCCTGCTGCCCTCTGGGAAGAGGCTTCACAACATTCGATGCAGGTCCAGCAGAATCCAATACAGCTTCTTCCCCACCGCCATCAGACAGCTGAGTGTTTAAAAAAACTATACAGGTGCTGGTCATAAAATTAGAATATCATGAAAAAGTAGATTGATTTCAGTAATTCCATTTAAAAAGTGAAACTTGTATATTATATTCATACATTACATACAAACTCATATATTTCAGATGTTTATTTTGTTTAATTTTGATGATTACAAATGACAACAAATGAAAATCTCAAATTCATCATATCAGAAAATTTGAATATTACTGAAGACCAATAAAAACAAAGGATTTATAGAAATGTTGGCCAACTGAAAAGTATGAACATGAAAAGTATGAGCATGTACAGCACTCAGTATTTAGTTGGGCCTCCTTTGGCCTGTATTACTGCAGCAATGCGGCGTGGCATGGAGTCGATCAGTCTGTGGCACTGCTCAGGTGTTATGATAGCCCAGGTTGCTCTAATAGTGGCTTTTAGCTCTTCTGAATTGTTGGGTCTGGTGTATTGCATCTTCTTCTTCACAATACCCCATAGATTTTCTATGGGGTTAAGGTCAGGAGAGTTTGCTGGCCAATTAAGAACAGGGATACCATGGTCCTTCAACCAGGTACTGGTAGCTTTGGCACTGTGTGCAGGTGCCAAGTCCTGTTGGAAAATGAAATCTGCATCTCCAAAAAGTTGGTCAGCTGCAGGAAGCATGAAGTGCTCTAAAACTTCCTGGTATGTGGCTGCGTTGACCCTGGACCTCAGAAAACACAATGGACCAACACCAGCAGATGACATGGCACCCCAAACCATCACTGACTGTGGAAACTTTACACTGGACTTCAAGCAACGTGGATGAAGTGCCTCTCTTCTTTTCCTCCAGACTCTGGGACCTTGATTTCCAAAGGAAATGCAAAATTTACTTTCATCAGAGAACATGACTTTGGACCACTCACCAGCAGTCCAGTCCTGTTTCTCTTTAGACGCTTCTGACGCTGTCTGTGATTCAAGAGTGGCTTGACACAAGGAATGCGACAGCAGAAACCCATGTCTTTCATACGTCTGTGTGTGGTGGTTCTTGAAGCACTCACTCCAGCTGCAGTCCACTCTTTGTGAATCTCCCCCACATTTTTGAATGGGTTTTGTTTCACAATCCTCTCCAGGGTGCGGTTATCTCTCTTGCTTGTACACTTTTTTCGACCACATCTTTTCCTTCCCTTCGCCTCTCTATTAATGTGCTTGGACACTGAGCTCTGTGAACAGCCAGCCTCTTTAGCGATGACCTTTTGTGTCTTGCCCTCCTTGTGCAAGGTGTCGATGGTCGTCTTTTGGACAACTGTCAAGTCAGCAGTCTTCCCCATGATTGTGTAGCCTATAGAACTAGACTGAAAGACCATTTAAAGGCTTTTGCAGGTGGTTTGAGTTAATTAGCTGATTAGAGTGTGGCACCAGGGGCCATCAATTTTGAACCTTTTCACAATATTCTAATTTTCTGATATGATGAATTTGAGATTTTCATTTGTTGTCATTTGTAATCATCAAAATTAAACAAAATAAACATCTGAAATATATGAGTTTGTATGTAATGTATGAATATAATATACAAGTTTCACTTTTTAAATGGAATTACTGAAATCAATCTACTTTTTCATGATATTCTAATTTTATGACCAGCACCTGTATTATGCCACACACTGCATCAAACTAACCATATTATTGCTATTTTTTTTGCACCATGATTTTTTCCTTCCACAATGTTTACATTTGTTCACTGCTGCACTTAAAAAAAAATGGAAATGCCACGAGAGCTTTACAAAACGAAATGTCGTTTTGCATACACTGTATACACAAAATGACAAAGTTTGTCAACAATTAAGTCCAAGTCTAAGGTTATATGCAAAGAATTTTAAAATATATCATATGTCATATGTCTGTCTGTTATCAGCCTTTTTTGCAGTTTACCAGAGGCTTTTATTTTGTTTATATTGATTTCAACATAATATTGTATTGACAGAAATTGAGAAACATAATATAAGTTTTGGCCCCATTTTCCAGCCCTACCAGGATCCAAACCTATTCTGTATCGATGGGTTCAGCAAGCATAAATCAGAAATACAAGGAGACAATATGCAGTCAAGGTTTAGCCAAGCGGCCGTTTGAAGAGGTTTTAACAGTAAATCTGTTGTAAAACAATAAGTAATAACATATAAGCACTTTCTGAAGGGCTTTTCCAAAGATGTTTAACCTCTTAATATCGACCTCTTCTCTGGGAAATTCACCTATTTTGTATACCCAAATGGAAAAGCAAATAACTGAGGAACAGTAAGCCCAAACTACATGTGTGATACTTTATTTGAGAGCTAACGCCTTCTTGTTTCTAAATATATACATATAAATTGGGTGAGTAAAACACCCAAACTGCATTAAGCCCACGCTGCATCAGTTCAAACAGGACTCAAAGTTGTATTTTTTATTCTTGAAAATAATGGGTCTTTTTTGAACAGCAGTAATAAAGACATTCTTGCTTGTTGTAGCTGCTTTGTCATGCTACATTTCGACATGCTTTTATAATGGTGCTTTTTTTTGCTCGCTATGTCCATAAAATCAACTAGGTGGTTGAATTGGGGAGAATCTAAGCTTTCCAACGATGTCTAACATGTCTATATTGGTAAAAATTTGACCAGTGTAATTTCATGCATTCTGAGTTATTTGTGAACTCTTTAAAACGGGTCGCTGGCGACCCGGTGGGTTCTGAGAGGTTAAGAAAGTTAAACTGAATTTAATCGTATGCACAGAGTGTTAAATACTTACAGTGATGAAATACTAATTATCATACAAAAGAACTTCTTCAAAACCAGTTTATAAAACAGAAATGTTCATTAATAAAAAGCACAAAAAAAAAGCCAAAACAAGCTAATCTGATGTTTTTTTTTTTACTTTATAGCCTTCTTAAATTCCAGTATTTAAAACAAACATGTATATAGACTAGAACTAAAATCTTGAAACGGTGAACCAACTATTGTAACTCTGAGGGAGTGAAACGTCATGCTCTTTTATCAAAATTCTGTGAACCATTACTGATGCACCCACCTCCTGCTGTCACTACATGTTCATCCAGGAGGAGAGATTCTGCAAGATTCAGTCAATGACTCAGTGCAATCTGCTGGGTTTCCTAAGGCCCCTGTCAAACCTTGCTGATTAAGCCAGCGTATGCCCAACATCCCAGATTCTCCTAAAACACTGGCATACACTAAACTTTATGTATTTTTTCAATTTTGGGCGTATGCATAGAATTCTCATAACGAGTTCAGAACTTCTGTCCTACGACAGCCTAACTTAAGCATAACGCACGGCAATGTAATGCTCATGAAATGTCACAAGCCAGTGTTCGGAGGTGCCCAGCCTGCATAAAAAGATTTATTTGATTGTGGTATTAACCTAGCTGCTGTTTACCACAAAAAAAAAAATAATAAATTAGTATTATACAGTAGCTGTAAGTTAGAAACACGTTGAGCTATCATGTGGAACACATCAGATACGTCGATATAGGTTGGAGATAAGTTCTTAATAAGTTAAGCATAAGTTATGCACAAGTTACTTGTGGGTTTTGGATACGCTAGACACCAAGACTTATGAGCAACTTGTATGTCAATGATCACATAATTTACCTGTAACTTATGGCCCACGTATGAGCATACGTCAAGAAATACTCTACGTACTTGCCGTATGTCGGCGTTTGCCAGAGTGTTTCAGCGTTCTCATAACTTATACAAAACGTACCCATAACTTATCCAATCTATGCCAGTATTTTTGCCAGATTTTTCGTACGTCAGGCATATCCTGGCTAAATCTTTAAGGTGTGACAGTAGCGTTAGATGGAAAACTTTTAAGCAGACCGTCTGTATAATTTTATTGGATAGACTGTGTAAAGTGCCTTTAGAGGACATGCTGCTAATTGGCCCTATAAGAATAAACATAATGAAATTCCTGTACTCCTATGTGAAGAAAGATATCGGTAGTGATTTGCAAAATGTAAAAACAATTCTGAGTAATAAAAAAATAAGCACTGTTATTTAATAGTGACATAATAATGAAGTCCACATGCGTAATTTTTACATTAAGAGCAAATTGCTAAAAAAAAAAAACAAAGAAGAATGCAGATGCAAAGACCTTATAGTTCATCGACAGAGATAGTTGTTCAGATAAAAGAATCAAAGTAGGATTCATTACAAATATCAGCACCTATGGCTCTGACGGCAAGCAGTGGACCTCTACACATTCACATCTAACAAGCAGCTGATTGGTTCACGGTTAAATAACGACAAGAGGGGGTTTTACATTATCTACTGAACGATTACCTGAGGTGGTTCATAAAAGAAAAAAAAGACAAATCCTTGATCTATTTAGTATTCAGTGGAATTTTCTATCCGTTTCAGACTTGATTAAGGCAAAGAAACAAATATTAAAGAAATAAATAAACGTATGGAAGCTTGGAGTTTGACAAAGGTACAAAACAAGAGACATTACAACATAATAACAGAAGCTGGTACTTACTGGTAGGTCTGTGAAGGCAATACCTGCAAAGAAAGAGAAAAGGTCACCTTAAAAAAGAGGTTTAGTTTCCATTTAGGAACAGAGCAGAAGGCCTCAGCCTGTGTTTACATGTGACGTGATCATTATCTCTCTGCTGTAGCTTAATTCAATCAAAGCTGTGTAAACCAGGCAGACAGCTTACTTTATCAAGACAAGAACAGTCTGGTTTTATGTAGAAACTGAACAGAGACTTTACAACAGAAACCTGGAATCCGTTCAACCGAGAACAACGTTTTAGCCTCCGTTACCACAGAGACTCAAACACCATGCAGCTGATTTACCTTGATCTTCATTTATAAGAAGGAAGAAAGGCCAAATGACTTCATAATATGTGGATTTCAGCCATATTTACTCTAATTTTTTTTCTTTTCATAAAGTCATAATACATTTGTAAATCTGATTTGGTTCACAATTAAAAATAAGAGCTTAAAGGCTGTGAAATATTGCAAAAAAAATTAAAATACCTTTAGCTAATTAAAAGGTCACCACTACCAGATTAACAGGATTACAAAACGAGCTACTGAAACTGATTTGCCCAGCTGAACTAAAGTCCACTAGAGAACAGTTTAATCTGTTTGAAAGTAACAGCTGGTGCCTCAGGCCCTGCCGACGATAGTGAGGGGAGAGGCCGGGCGATATACAGGATTTTTACTGTTACCGTCATTCACAACGATACCTGGCAACAGTTTTCCCATGTCTGTAAAATAAATAAACTTGATTCTGCTGTTTTGCCTGTGTGCGCTGGTAGCTGGTATTTCCTTTATCTTTAAGACAAAGCAGCAGCGATCCAGTCAGAAGCGTAAATAAAGAGAATGGCAGATTTTCCCAGTGAAAAAGCGTCTAACACAGCTAAAAACGAAATTACATCAGTTAATCCTGTGGAGCTGAGTGGGAGTAGAGATGAAGGTGAGCTTGCAGAGAAGAAGTTACCAGCATATTGTCAGAGTTGAGTGTGCGGCAGACCGGTTTTGAGTGACTGACTGAGAGTTTAAACGATGCACATTGTTCTCGCTGCACACTCAGTCCGATGCCACCAAAATTATGCCATACGCGTTAGACAAAAGAACAGGAAAAGCAAAGTTTGTCTGAAAACTGTCAGGACCTAAAGTAACAGTTGTGCAAAAGGCTCCATTACCTTTGCGCAAAAATGTTTCCAAGAGAGGTAACATTTTTCTCCTGTTCTATGTGACATAGTTGAATGTTTAAACCTGAATGGTTACAAGCCTTTAATATTTAACTGAAAGTAATATGTAAAGTGATTTATTCAATAAATAAATAAAAATAGATCAGTTGTGTTTTCGGGCTGCTCAGTGGTGCAGCGGGTAGACCCTGGATTCGATTCCCAGCCCGGGGTCTTTCTGCATGGAGTTTGCATTTTCTCCCTGTGCATGCATAGGTACCAAAAACATGACCATTAGGTTAATTGGCTTCTCTAAATTCTCCTTAGGTGTGAGAGTGTGAATGGTTGGTTGTCTGCGTGTCTGTTGCCCTGCGATGGACTGGCTACCTGTCCAGGGTGTACCCATACACAGCTGGAGATGGGCACCAGCACCCCTCGCGAACCCAGCAGGGATAAGCTTGACGGAAAATAGATGGACAGTTTTATTTCCTGCACATGCCTTTTTTTCTGATAGAAGAGTCGGGCCATTTATCGTTATCGAGGTAAAACTTCCTAATTTATAATGATATTGATTTAAGGTCATATCACTCAGCTATAGTGAAGGGAATGGAGAACGTCACTAAAGTGTAACAATCTTCTGTCTGCTATCTGAGAGACACTGTCTTCTTTAGGTGTGCCTCTGCCTTGACACACTTGGATCCAATATAATCTTATAGATGCAGTTGAGCCATTTGTTTGGGGTTTTCAGGAACATGGATGCATGTAAAGGTTGCAGCCCATCAGCCCTTGAGAATTTCAGTTAGTCTGTGCAGCGACTTTCTTAACAGCCACCATCATGCATGCAACACAGCTTCCTCTATAAAGCTAATAAAACGCTGAGCTGCTGTGGATTATTGAATTTATATTACGGAACATCTTTATTTGATTTACTTATTTCAGCTGGTATTAATTTATGTTTTAGCCATTTCATCCCTTCCCTAAAACCAATTACTGAAGACTTGGAAAAACAAAAACTGATTTTGACTAGAACAAACCTTGCCAATTCCACTGCCTGAAACATCGAGTTTAATAAAGTACAGCGGGTTCATATTTTCAGTCCATTAAGAACCTTTCAACCTCTTGGAACTTGCATAAACAATTTTTTGTCTCTCTGGGCTGGTGAATATAAAGAATTCGCTCTAAAGATGCCATGGTAAATACAGTGTGGAAACGGAATAAGAAAGCCTCACAGAGCTCTCACTGATATGATCTGAAATCTAAATGCTTCAAGAAAAGGACAAGCGTTACCATCTGTACCCCTTGATGTTTTAGGCCGAACAGAGCTGCAGGCAGCAATGCATGTGACCGGTACAGACGCATCATGAAGGTATGCAGCGTTATCTGGTTTTGCAGTAAATAGGAAACACCCTTTAGCCACATTAGTGCAGCACAGTCGTGTTTTAACCTACAGTATTTCTAAGAATACAGAGAGTTACAAATTTATTCCAGCCATAAATACTTAGAGAGCAGACGGTGAGAGTGCAATAAAAATATAATAACTTCATAGAATTATTTATTTAATTGGAAATAACCAAGTCCTCTAATTACACAGATTTTTTACCAGGTTACACAGCTGCTGCATCTCTACGTTGAGCAGTTTCCCTAATATGTGCTGCGCCCATCAGTATATATAAAAATAAATAAATAAAACACAATGGAAACCGTTACTTTTTGGTTTTTAGGAAGTCGGAGCGCCCCGTGTAAAAACGACAACGTTGCGATCGCCTTACCTAGGCTGTGACCGTTCTTTGTGTAAAAGCAGGTGTTGTTGATGAGGTTAACGCAGCAGCCAATCACGTCGCCTGTTGTAAACGTGGGCCCGTAGGGTTGCCCGGTGCCAGACGAGCAGAAAGAGTGGCCGTCGTCTCCATGGTAACCATACGAGTGCTTGTCCCAACCTGAAGGGAGAGAACAGAAGAACAAAGTGACCAAAGCTGAGCACTCAGAGGGCAGGGAAAAGGTTCCCAAGGACATCAGGGGAGAATAAACTGATTCCACAAACCAGACGATAATCAAATTTAACTCGAAGAAAGTAAACACTCTGGAATGATGAAAAATAAAAAAATCTTGGCAACTAAAAATTGATGACATCACAACGGGTGAAATATGCTTAAGCAGTCCTGCTAGTCCTGTGTGACCAAATGTGCATAATTGTAAATTAAGAACAAAAACTTTGCAAGGAGAGAGAATTCTTAACCAAAAACTCCAACATGTAGCAGGTGCAACAGAATCCAGCTTTAGCACTAGAGGGATGTAAATGTGTCCAAATTCAGGGGCTTCATTTCTGACAAAGGTTGTCCAAATTTAAAGGTTGGGTCAGCCGAAGCCTTCGTGGCCCAGCCCATCGCGTCTTTCGATCGAAACAGAAACTTTAAATGTAAGAAAGGAAAGTAGAAAAAAAAAAACTTAATTTAAAACATTATAGTGTTATAAAATGAGCAGATATTTGAGTTTTATGTAGCTACATGCTTGCTTAAAGATATTACAAGATCATATTCTGAGAGATAACAACCACCAACCAGGTGGTTGAAGTATTAAAGTTAATCTGGAAATTATTAATTTACTCATCTTTAATACATACTTCAAAGCTCCTTAACGATTAAATGAACAAAACAAAAAAACGCTTGGGATGCTTTTTCAGGCTTCACAGCTCTGTGCGTCACGCTGCCTGGGTCAGAGGGGAACTGATGCTGCATTGAGGTAAAAGTGGAAGCGCAGGTGAAAGTCACATTTACAGCCACTCCTTCCAACCTTCACGGCCTCTACATCCTTGGACCTACTGGGTCCATTGAAAGCTGCAGGACACGAATTTGAACACAGCTTCAGTTTAACCTCTAGAAGACCTCTAGTTAGCAAATCCATGTTTCCTTCTTTCATCTCAATGAATACAGAACATTAAGCATTCCTATAAAGGCGTTTTTAATAATCTGAGAGTAAGTATCTCCAACTCAAGAATAAATGGGCAGTTTTAACTAGAATGATCTCAAAGATGTGTTCTTTACTTCGTTTGCTTTATGATGATGTTGCATTATTATGATGGAGGAACATGCGTCAGTATCCTAGCTTCCATTAGAAGCGGCTAAACTTAAACTGGGAGCACTCTCCTCCTCTGAGAAGGAGGACAGTCTCTCTTTAGGCCCTGCTGGCCTCAGGCCTGTTTTAACCTTAGAAAGCAGAAGGCTGTGTGTATGAGCTATAGCTGAGCTGCAGAATAAATCCAGCCCCTACTACATCCATCACTAAGACAGTTCTTCACATTTACTGCTCTTTTATTAGCCTCCATCTGTATCTGCAGCTCACTCTGGCCCCTTGTTATCTTTAAAGAAGAGCCGGAGCCCCTGGGTGGGTCCAGTTTTCAAACTAATGAAAGGCAGTCTGGGCTCCTGCTTAGTCTGATAACCTCACTGAATGACACTGAAGCTGCAGTGCGATGTCATATGGACCGGGTCGCAGAAGGAGAATCCTTTCATAGAAACAAGATAAAGCTTAACCAGGGCTTGGTCATATCACCTAAAAATAAAAACCGGGATGAATTTAGCATTTATCTGTTAAATGAAGTGAATCATGTTAAAAAGATGTTCATATGAACGTTTGTCCATTTTTTTGCTATTAGACCAATATCTTTTGTTGTCTCTCAGCTCTGGAGTGGCCCGAAAACTCCTGAATTCCCCCTACAGACTCCATTAAACTTTCTTCCATTTTCACTAGTATCATTTACTAAATTAAAGTTTCTAATTGATGTTGAGGAGCTAATAGCTCTAAACCGGATCCATTAGCTCAAAACTTTCTGCTTGGTAAATCTAAACCACCTCTGCATTTAAAGTGGTTATTTTTTTAGCTCACTGATTGGAGTCTCTGGATGGTGGCGATTTTAGTCTGGTTGATCAGTTTAGTTGGCCAGCAGAGAGCTCCCTCTCCGCATGCTCAGAGTTTTTCAGGAAAGCGGGGGACAGTGAGTGAGCCAGTCCACACCTACCAGTCTGTTTCTCCGTCTGCTCAAACACAAAGCTTCTGACGTCAAATTACCTGATTCACGCCTGTCCATGAGGATGTTGATGTACAGCCCAGATTTTTTATGACCTGACTGACGACACCACCAGACTGAAATCCAAAAGCTTATTCACTAATGTTTGTGTTTTTTTTTCTGTTGTGTACCTGTAGGCATGCAGTTTGAGTGGGAAGCCACTCAACTGAATGACACTTCCACATTCATTTTTCGGCTGTCTGTAACAGCTTCACATTTGTGTAAACACTGTATTCCAGCCTCGCCATCAGAGAACATGCAGATGTAATCAGATAATTGAAGTTTCCTCTAACGGAGACGTTTCCATGGCTCAGCAGAATCCTGAGCAGAATACAAGCTCTAAATACAAAAAAATCCTGACATTTGCATAAATCATGAACTTACCAGGGAGTCTGTTCATGTTTACACCCTGAGCTGAGAGGCCGATGCCCATGTACCTGAGGAACAGACAGGGTAAAAACAATTACATTAAGCAAATCCCCGACATGTAAAACGGTGACTCTCTAGCACAGACCTGGGATAAAACATCATTGTTGCCATTTTAGAGGACAGAGGCAGGTAAAAACTAAATATTTATCTTCCCCTTCATCGTTTTCCATATAAACCTCCCTCCTTATAGAACAGCATTTCCTCTGCTTCAGTAAAATACAGAGTAACAGCTCTACTGTAAAGATACAGCTGTGTTGTGCTTGGATGCAATGAAAGATGCAGCATCTTCTGCTCCAGCCAAACTTGTTTTTTTTTTCATAGTCAAGCAGACAAAAGAAAGGAGGAGCACAGCAGAGGAAAGCTGCAGTGACTTTAATTAAATCCTGTTTACCTGAAGCTTACTCAACATCACTGTCTTATCAGCAGAAGTAACACCAACCTTGGTGTAGTTTAATTGGTTTTCAAAAGAAACACTAACAATGAAAATACACCTGAATACCTCTTTAAGTACAGAAACTGTTCACATACCAACAGCTGCAACAGTTAAACCAGTTTGGCAGCCCAGTAAAATTAATTAGCCCCATTTACCCTACCCTTTTTTAACCGTGCCAAGATTGGTTCAAGCATGGTGACCGAGATAACTGAGTGTTAATTGCAGACACAACTGAACAGGACCGTGCCAGACACAGCCGAACCACGCTAACATGGTACTAGTTCATCAATAAGGCTTGGCAGGTTCAGTTCTGGCTCGATTTCCTTAGACAGCAAAGAGCGCATGAGGAGACCACATCATCTCCTTAGAGTCAGACATTCATAAAAATACAAGCTATACAAGCCAGACTAAATGTGAGATTAAATGTGTAATTTAGTCTGGCCCCGATGATTGAGACATTGGAAGATTGTTGAAGAGAACACGTTGTCTTACAAACCATGTCTGTACCTATTGGCCAACGCGCGCAAAATTGAAAACACATCTCTGCTTGCGATTGGCCTGCCAGTTCTAGGGCCTGGGGCATTGATCGAGACTAGACCCACTCACAGGCAAAAATGATTTTGGCCGCTGGCGGGTGGAGCTAGTTCACTATGCTAGTGCCACATGATTTCCAGTGATGATTCTCCTTAGCAGTGTGATTAACCCCAACAATCGTTCCTGAATGTTACGGGCGCTGCCTTGTTGATTTTCTTGTTTACCTCTAGAGAGCAATAGTACCGTAGATCATCACTAGGAGGAGAGTAACCATACTAGCGTGATGTGTAAATGGTTGTAAGGAACTGAGCTTGGCTTGGTTAACTGATCCAAGCTCAGAGTTGATCAATTTTCAGCGGTTAGTGTAAATGGGGCTATTTAAACCAACTCATATCTGCTAAACGAACCATTTATCCAAAAGCACAACTTGGAACCAAACTAGAAGATTTATTCCCCTAAAAGCTTGGATGCTTTGTAACATCCAAACCAAACCAGCCTCACTAGCTCCTCAACAAGATCAAACCTTTCATCGACTCGTCTAAATGTTTCATATCCAATTGATCTTATACAGTTAAATCTCATCAAAATAATGAATTTAATGCAGTTTTAATAAAACATTTAGTAGAAGCAAAGTACAACATGTTTAGTTGCTTACATGAACCAAGTAATGATTATATTTATCTCAGGTGGTGCATTAGGACCTCAGAGTGTAGAATATCATAGCAAATTCATTAACATAACCGTTATATCACTGAACTGTGATTAACAACAGACTTTGAAAACAAGCTTCAATAAAGCTCGACACATAAACAAGATAAACTTCTGTAATATCCAACTTTTTTATTCTTACCCATCTCGGCCTTTACTGATAATCTTCACCTCAAAGTAGTAGACCCCGCAGGCGGCTGGGATGGGATGGGTCGCTCGTACAGATGCAGCATCCTTGGGAGTCTTGCCATGACCTTGGAAAACGCAAAAAGTAACTTTTTTATCGTTGATAAAGACCAAAAGCATCACCTTAGGGCTTAGCGTGTGGGATCCTAATCTCGGCCCTAAACCACTGACTGTATGCAGATTCAGATTGATTGCTCAGGGTAAAACATTATCCTCACTGATAACGATAAACCCAGATCAGAGCAACATTTAAACCTTTGAGAGACCAGAAAGTGGGCCACATATTTTACACACAACAAACAAAGCAGACAGAGAACTATAGTGTTATTAATTTTCAAGAGAGATTATCTACAGTGCGTTCTGAAAACAGATTCAGGGAACTTTTGTATGATTTCTATGCTAAAATGATCACTAATCAAAATAAAAAAAAATTACTGGTTCATTTTCTATAAATGCAAAGAAAACGTTTCGCTGTAGAATATGGCAGAGGTCATGTTATGAAGCAGAACCGCGTGTACCGATTTGTGAACCTGCTTATGCTGGAGGTCTTTAAAGCTAACATTAGCCCAAGCAGCTGGAGTGCAGGGCTGATGAGCAGATCATTAGGGGTCAAATATCAGGCATGTTTACGCTGATGAATATTAGCTAGAAGCAGTTTAGCTTAGTTAAGCTTACATAATATGTGGACCACAGGGATTTACAACAAAACAAGATATCCTGAGTCCTTTTAGGTAATGCTGGTAACAACATATCTGCTGAAATAAAAAAATAAGAGGTTGTATGTCTTCAACCTAATCATTCAAATCCAAATAACATCCTTAGCTAATTTGATCTTTGCATACCAAAATGCTACCTATTTATGTACAAGGGGGCATCTATTTTAGATTTAGTCCTCAATCTTTTTTTTTTTAAGATTAGCTAATAATAAATGGGTATTCAAAACAATAGTTTAAATTTGTATGCTTTTTTTTTTTTATTTGATTTCAAAAATTTTATTTTAAAGTTCCTCCTTCCTCCACTTGCTTTCTATACTGCATCTGCCCTATGGTGTGCTTTGTCAAGCTACACTAAATAGCTTTTAATACCCCAGTCTAGTTTTACAACAGTGCTCTCAAGTGTTGTTAAGAGATTCGTCCTTGTTTTAGGGAAACAACTTTTTTTTTTTTTTTAAGGTGGCAGAAGCGTGTATTAATATCAAGAACACATGACATCAGACTGTTATTAAATGCTGCAACAATGATAGGGACTGTAATTAACCCACCATATTTTTCTTTTACATCATCTTAAAACCTTCCTCTTAATAGTCTTGTCACCAAGATCGATTGCTGGCATGCATTAAGGACAGTAAAGATAGTACTGTTAAAAACTATGTTAATGCATGTCATTTAAAATAGATCAAATACAGAATCCAGTCAGTGTTTTGTGATTTTGAACACACTAATGAGGTTTGCAATTTTAATGTACTGTTTTATGCAACCAATTATATATGGGTGATATAATGTTAATGATATACTAAGAGCGATTTCACTTTATCTTTAAAATGTACACGATTCTGCAAAACACACAAATATTTAGTGGCTCTCCAAACTTTACAACCCTCTGTTAAAATCCCAGGATATTCTGATGGAAAACAACTGAAATCCTTTCAATATATCTTACAATTTCCCACCTTTAATGGGCCATTTATTTGAATAGCTGACAAGAAATGTACTATGGGAAAAAAATATATATATAAAATGGGAAGATATAAATATAAAAAGAGGGGCGCACTAAATACTCCAGATCTTGATTTTATACCCTAACATTTAACACGTGTGGTTAGGATTTTTTCTCTTGCTGGAGGCGGATTTGTTTTTGTTTGGATTTTTATTCCCCGTTTTAGACATACATTTTGGAATAGTGACACTGATGTTAGGTTTCATTTTCTTCCTAAAAGAATTAGGTTCTCGAATGCTGGACACAACCAGAACATACCAATTGTGCTTGCCATTTCTTCGGTATTGTGGTTAACTTCCCTGACCAGGTTATATTTTAACTTTTCATCAGTTCTGGAGAAATGTCCAGTTTTTGTAAAGTCATTGTTTTTCAGTATTTTCTGAAATCACAAACCATTTCTATAGCGCTATGGTATATAGTACAGCATGTTTTGTTCCAACCTTCCCCTGCCTTACTGCTTTATAAAAGAAGATTCTGTTGTGTTTTTATGAGTCCTTTGCAAAATGCAGTTTTCCTAAAGTGTGCAAATGATTGATTTTGAGACAGGGCAGTTAACAGTCAAATTAGATTTACAACAGATCTTAGAAGCATTTTTTTTATTGACTTTTAAATTAGGCACGTTATATATGGCAAAGCTTTGAAACAATTAATCATGATCACATTTCTTTTAATAAAACATAAGGGTCTGTATACTTTTGAGAACTACTGCATGTCACCTTCAGGTAATAATAAAAACACTGTACTCCAAATAAGGTATTAAGAAACTCTAAAAACCAAAATATCTGAACCACTTTTCCATTCCTTTCAGCACAGCATAAATACATTTCAACTTTGATCTTTTAAATAGACTAATATAATTGCTCAAAGATTAGTGACACCTTTGCAATAAAACTGAGAAAGATTTTCAGATATATTGTTTGTCAAGTTGACATTAAAGACATAAATTCATCCTGTTGGTCTCTAGTCTGAATACAGTGAGGATATATTACAGAACAGTTATATACTAAACATTTTATTATTTAAATGCTTTGTCCCTTTGCAAAACTCTCAAATACACAAAATAGAGCCATCTGAACAGGTTGATGTTGCTGCGGCTTTCACAACCTAATGTATTATAAGGGTTAAGGTACAAGGTATATTATATATATTAAATTTTCTCTATATTTTGACTAACTTACTTTGACATATTTTTACAGTTTGGCAACAACAAACACTGTTTAATTGTGACTGATTCAACTTTCTAAGTAGGATATGAAATCTAATCATTGATTGAACAGTTCTAACAATTTGGGTAAAGCTTTGATTATAATGAATGAATTTTGCAATAGTTTATTGATAGCATAACAAATAGCAGATTATTAGATTATTAGCAGAGTGGACATATTCTCCAAAGGGGCTCATTTTTATGTTTATGATTACCTTCATTGTATGGTGGAGATTTAAAATATAAGATGGTGTGGTAAGATCACCTGACATTTGCAACCTTGCTGCACAGGATTGGAGTACATTTGTTGTAAAAAAGGAAAAATAGTCTGGTTGCAACAAGGAAGAGGATGTGTGCAGAGGCCCAGCCAGACCCAGAATAGCAGAACACACCCAGGAAGCACAATTGCACCTATTTTTTTAAAGCCGTTTCTTCTAGGCCTGCTCTTAGAACCTTCACTATGGTAGCTCTGCAAATAACCTGGATGTCAGATAAAACCCTTAATATTAAATCCTCTGCTGTGAGGAAATGAGATCTAATATGTCCTCACGGAGGCCTGAACCCGACCTCGACATCTGACACTATTTTATCACATCTTTAATTAACAAGTTATGCCAAATTAGCACACTAAAGGGTTGCTGCATTATGTCTTATTCTGACCTGTGTCAAACAAACATCAAATCTAACCTCGTCTAAGTGTTTTATTAGTAGCTTTAATTATGTTATTTCTTAAGGATTCTTTTCTAAACAATAGCTCGACAGAATGTGAGCACTGTATGCTTCATAGTGGAAATAAAAGAGGTTTGCAAACTGGTTAGGTTAACTAGTAGCATCGAAGCTAACGAGCTAGGAGGTGGAAATTGGCAGCAGTTCCACATCGCCAGCTGGTCGGTTTGCAAGATGTCCTCTCTGCCCTGTTGTTGATCAGGCTACCAGCCTACTTTGTTTTTAGCCCCAAACAGCAGCTGCCTTTGCTATGCTAGCCACGAAGTTTGGCTAATATATTAGCTTCGGCTAAATAAAGTGCTAAAACTTTGAAGGGGTATTTTTGTCATACCTTTATAGTGAACGCGGAGGTTGTTCTGAGAGAGCCCGATGTAGCTGAACTTGTCCTTCGGGCTCCAGGAGCGGGGAAGCGGGGTCTCGTTTTCGTTAACGGCCGGATACAGTCGTCGAAGTCGCTGGTTTAGCTCTTTTTCCTGCTCGTTCAGAGCCGAGTCTCCGTGGACAACGACCGACATCAGAAACCCACAGCCCGTCGACTGTCCAGACATGGCTGATTCACGGCTTTTAGTTGAATGGCTTGTCAGTAACAAGCCAGGACCGCTGGAGTCGGTCAGTGTCGAGTTTTTAAAGGGGGGTGTTAGCAAAGCTAGCTAGTTAGCAGGCTAAGCTAACTGGCTTCGCTGGTTCGAATTGAGACAGCCAGAGTTGGTTAGCTAAGAAGCTAACCTGGCTAACGTTTTTAGCGATCGTTGAAATGGCTTAGGTTGACATTAGCTGCCACAAAGCCTCAACATCCACACAACGGTGACAATTTCTACTGGACAGGATCTGATGAGAGCAGCAGAGAGCCAGACGAAAAAAGTCAGTTTGGTTAGCAAAGTAACATAGTTGTTGGAGCAGGCGGATCGGCTGAAGTATAATAAGCTCGGCTAGGCTCGATCTTTTGTTTGTTGTCGGAGCGCTATCCGTGATCCTGATTGGCTGAGAGCAGCTCCACTCGCTTCCTATGGGAATGTGAAGTCAGTAGATGTGAATGTGCAAAAAACACATGATGCACAGATAAACCTGCACCCAAAAACATGCTCTTAGTTTTAAAAGTCAGGGGCAAACTTGTATTTATTTGTTGTTTCTCAATAGTCTCCCATTGTCTTTGAGTACTGGTTTATGAAACCAGCTCCCTATCCATATTACAAAGATTTCAAACAATAGATTGTCCACAACCAGATAAAACCTTCTCTATGATGTCATAAAATAGTTTTTTTTTTATTTTATTTTAGTTTTTCACTGTATTGTTTATCTAATAAAACACCAAATATCATATTAAAATGTATTGTTATCATATGTACTATACCACCATATTACATAAACTAAACTAAACTGTTTTTTTAACAGAGAAATATCAGCCTACCAAAAAATAATTTCCAATATTTTTTATTAGTGTTGCACCGATATCGATACCAGTATTGGGCAGGGCCCCGATACTGCACTAAAATGGTGGTATCGGTATTGGCGAGTATCGACAAATAGGGCACCGATACCATTTTAAGAGCTAAAAGTTTATTCAACTATTGTGACCCATTCCAGGTAGGCAATAAAAAGTTCTACTGGATTCACTTTTTATTAGTCTTTTTCCTGCTTCAAAAAGATAGACAGCAGCTTGACAAAAACATGATGGAAATTATGCAGTTCTTCATATTTATACATACACATCAATTTCAAACGGATAGTATTGGTATCGGCCAATACTGCACAACCAGGTATCGTTATCGGGGCCAAAATAAATGGCATTGGTGCAACTCTAAATAAAACCCCAAAGATCCTATTAAAATTATATATGTCAATATTGGTACTATACCACCATATAACAAAAAACTAAACCGTTTTTTTTACAGAGAAATATTAGCTTACTAAAAAATAATTTCCGATATTTTACATCAGTATTTGTGAAGGCTGTTTTTGCAGATGACAGATGAACTTACTGGAAGGCATCTCTGTAGACCCAAAAGAAAATGACCAGGACTGCGACTGGATTGGACTCTTTGGATTAAAAGAAACGCAAGCACACAAACATCCCTCCAAGCTTTCTCAGTAACTCCCTCCTTTCCATTGCCAGACATTCAATATACATCTGCAGGAACTATCATCTTTATGACAACAAATCCCTGGACTGCTGGAAGCTATTCTGTGGACTTTTTCACAACCACAAGAAGTCAATCCATCACACAGACAAGCAACTCTCTCAGGACGTTTTTGGACTGCTAAAGAACTTTGATTTTCTTCGACGAATGTTTGTGCATAAAAGCAATTTGTATTGTTTTTTACTCTACATATTAAAAAAGACAGAAACCTTAGTTCGATTGATTTGTGATTAATCTGGTCAATTCAGTTTTCTTTTTACTTAAAACTTGGTTAATATATTTTTTCTGTAAATAACGGAAATACATTTTTGAATATTCATCATAATAAAGGTTTAAAAATGAAACACCATCAGTTCCTTAAAGCTTTTCAGGAAAGGGAAACATAAAGAGCCCTAAAATATCACGGTAGCTGCTGCACTGTGTTAGGACTCTTTGACAAACAAGTCTCATACATCAGGATTCTGGGAGCTTCATATAAAAATGCAAACGCCAAATGTACTTCTGTAATTTGTAAAGACAAGAGCTCGTTGACGGCCCATCCACTTGGGTCCCTGACGAACAAAACCACTGCTAACTGGAAACAATTTAAACTCCTGATTATTTCCAAGACTTTGGGGTTGGAGGTTTCTGAAAGGTATTTTTTCCGTGATCTGAAACAAGAACAATTCAGTTTGCACAGACTGCCAATCTAGGTACCTTAGCAGGACCCTTAGCCCTAGATGAAACCCCAGGTGCTGCATTCTGCCCACTGCTTCCATAGGGATGGGTTTAATCGAAAAGTTATATTTTGTTGTAATGACTAAAACTGATTACGGTACCCTTCTGATCAATAGCCTATATCAGTGGTAGGTAACATGGGTCCTCTAGTGCCACTGTCCTGCAGCTTTTGCACATATCCCTTCTCAACATATCCAAAACAAATAATAAACTTATAAACATGCCAAATAGGTCATTTGGATTTTTGTTTCAGGTGTGTTGAAACAGAAATGCATGCAAAGGTTGCAGAATATTGGTACCCGTGGACCTACGTTGCCTACCCCTGGTCTGCAGGAAAACATAGGAGAAGTGGAATATCTGGTGCTATTTTCTGCTTGGATGTCTTACTTAAAGTGAACAATTCATTCTGTTCTCTACAAGAAAGTCCTGAATTAGGAAGCCCTGATCATAAACAATCTCATGACCTTAGGCTCTTGGTTACGCATGATAACTATCTAGTTCGACACTGAACGGGTCAAAAGCTAAATAAAGCTGCTTGACTCGCACAGTCCAATCCATTTGGGATGCTTTGGAATGACTTAAATCACGCTCTTCAGGCTAAAAAAACCTTCCAATGCACCTAATGAAAACAACCCTGCAAACAAGAAACATTTTCATCTCCACTCTCACTGTATTCTTGCTCGTTCTGAAAGATTGCTGCAAAGGATGAGAAATCAGAATTAGTAAAAGCTTTATTGTTCGGGGCAGCTTCCCACATAAGGTCAGGTTGGTTTGGATACCTTTAATTGAGAGCTTTAAATCTTATTTTGGGAATTGAAATTTGTATTTTTTCCACTTATCTTTCTTTGGATATCTAATTTGTCTCATGATCCAAAACATTGAAGTTAAACAAGTCTTTGGCAGGAGTATTGTTTATGCCTAACATGACCATGGCTACTTTCCTTATGGAAGAAATTGGTGGGATCCATCTGTACTGTTGGATCGACATGTTCAAAAACCCCATCTTAATGTTTTCTCCTTTTCAACTCATCAATCTCTGTTCATTATTTTATAAACTATTTGCTCTTCAGAAAGCTCCACCATGGGCTAATGTAAACAACTTCCTTGTTGGTGTTATTATGCATCACTTAAGGTTTAAAAGCTGCAGATGCATGTTCAGATATGATCTAATCTGGCTGTATAAAGCGTTTTCCTTGAGAATGAAATCTAGTAAAACATTTCTAGGAGTCAGTTTGATCATTCAGAGTGATGCATTATTGGATGTAAGTATCTGGTACAGTACAAGCTTGACCATAAAATGGATGACGGAGAATCTTCATAGACATGTTGCAAGGAATAAACTAAGAATAGCAGCATGCCTCTCTGTGTTCGTGCCAAAGTCAGACTTATAAAACCGAAGGCACAGACAGTTACTATCTTCCCTGTTTGGTTTAGCAGCCTGTAAACGTCCCTTACACCACTACAGCATGTGGGAATGTTCATTTCATCACTATAAAGGAATGATGAAATGAGGTCTCACACCCCGTGGGGAAACATTTACTCCGATTTAGATCAGGATCTTTGGAAAACAGGAATGGTGGAAGGCCTGGTCTGTTTATCATCCCTGAGATACGTAAGTGCCAAACCAGACATGTTCTGGGAACGGCTCAGTGTGTTTGGAGGACTGGTCCAAAGGGGTGAATCTCTACTAAAATCTTCATGTGAATAAGTAAAAAGTCTTCAGATATATATTTTTTCCAGGCCAGCCAAAGGAAGCCGAGTATTAGGATTTTAACAAAACCAAGTATTCTAATTAATATTTATCTAACATGATAATTTATCCAACATTTACATTAACTAGACCAAATAAAATGTTAGAAATGGCGTGATTTTTTTATTCTTATTTGTGGTTTGTTTTTCAACTGAACATCACTGTAGGATTTTTTTTATGCATGTCAGTAAGCCAAAAAAACAGGGTAAATTCTGAGCCACTGCAGTTTTGCCCAGAAAATGAAACTCCAGTTGATTTTTTTGTGTGCTTGCCACGACCCAGTTGACAAAAAAATGCACAGGAACCCATCAGTCAGAACATGTTATTTGGTTTTTGAATTCCTTGTTTACCATCCTGCACATTTAAGGTAGAAATTATCCTTACACAACTCAGGTTTATGCAACAAAAATCATCAGTATTGGTAGTTCCCGATTTAATCCGCAGATTGGATCAGTGGACATAAGGTGCAGCAGTGAAGGATCACCAGTAGCCACTTCTATAAAATGCTTTCCTTCATCTCCAGTTAGGATTTTACTTAACATTATTTTGCTCTACAAAAGACCAACTCAATACTGCAACTCAAAAATGCTAATTTGCATTTGTATTTAGCCCTCCTGAGTCAATGCTTTGTTACTTTGCCTACTGCTGCATTTCCAGTTGCAGATGGTTTTGGATACAGGTGCTGGTCATAAAATTAGAATATCATGAAAAAGTAGATTGATTTCAGTAATTCCATTTAAAAAGTGAAACTTGTATATTATATTCATACATTACATACAAACTCATATATTTCAGATGTTTATTTTGTTTAATTTTGATGATTACAAATGACAACAAATGAAAATCTCAAATTCATCATATCAGAAAATTTGAATATTACTGAAGACCAATAAAAACAAAGGATTTATAGAAATGTTGGCCAACTGAAAAGTATGAACATGAAAAGTATGAGCATGTACAGCACTCAGTATTTAGTTGGGCCTCCTTTGGCCTGTATTACTGCAGCAATGCGGCGTGGCATGGAGTCGATCAGTCTGTGGCACTGCTCAGGTGTTATGATAGCCCAGGTTGCTCTAATAGTGGCTTTTAGCTCTTCTGAATTGTTGGGTCTGGTGTATTGCATCTTCTTCTTCACAATACCCCATAGATTTTCTATGGGGTTAAGGTCAGGAGAGTTTGCTGGCCAATTAAGAACAGGGATACCATGGTCCTTCAACCAGGTACTGGTAGCTTTGGCACTGTGTGCAGGTGCCAAGTCCTGTTGGAAAATGAAATCTGCATCTCCAAAAAGTTGGTCAGCTGCAGGAAGCATGAAGTGCTCTAAAACTTTCTGGTATGTGGCTGCGTTGACCCTGGACCTCAGAAAACA